TCTTCTGGTTTGTTGCGCTGTGTAGTCTGGTCGATGTTAACGTTTCAGAGGTCATACTGCCTCCGTCATAAGGGCGATCGTAAACATCCACCAGACTACACAGCGCAACAATCCAGAAGACAGAAATCTTCATACTCACTGCTGTGAAAACCTCAAATCTTACATCATCATATTTTTATTTACTTATGAACAAAACGTGATATCTCAAGCCATATAATAAAAATGACACGTGTGTATAGAATAATGCAAATACTACTAAATACAGATGACCTCCAAGAATGCTTTAAATAATTTAAAATGTGTGCGAACAGTGAGCGAGCACGATAATTACATGTTCAAATAGATTACAAAATGAACTTGAAATACTTTACATACAATATTATAAAATGTATGAGTTTAAAACAACTCTTAGAGAAACTCAGTAACATTTTAGCATTACAATAAATGCAATTAAATCACCAAATTCACAAGCTTACATACAGTCCTCATCCAGAACTTAAAAACAAAAAAATTTCAGGCTGAGGCACTACATTAGCAAGGCCAATTCATAACAGGTTTATGAGAATATAAGTTACTACCATTTTTCACCATGCACAAGACATTTTGTACATCCTGCAAATGGGTATTTCCTTATCAAACACCTACATATTATACCTGAAATATGAAGTATTCTATTCTTTGTGCGACATGGAACATAGAGGCCACAACGTAGGTAACATTTATTCATTAAAGACCTATTTCAAACATTTTCATATCAAGGAAAGAACAAAGTGGATAAAAGTACAAAACTTTGTTACAAAAATTAATTCCAACCAGAAATCTGCTTGTACCCATAATTAAAAGCTGTGTTAGCAGTATCTGTTGACAAAAACAATTCCCTTCGATACACGTGGGAGACTCAGTCAATGCAACCGATTTTTTTCCGAGACAGTTGAAACTTTGCAGTAGACACACTTTTCCTATTTCAAGCAAAAATCATATAATCATACAAAACAAAGGCAAGTATTGCACTGCTTGGCAAAAGATAATTTAATATATAAATAATAATTCTGTTTAAGTGATATGGCTGGATTACACAAAGACAACTCAGAAAACAGCAGCTGGAGTCACGTGAACAAACCCCCGATGGTGCAGAAGACAGTCAACAGACTCACCAGTAAGATGGCCTTTGTCTTGGGACAGTTGACAGCACTGTGTAAACAAAGTGAGTGGATGAAGGAGTAATTCAAGGGACACCGCACACAATTTTATTACTTGACAAATGATGATTTCATTTTATTTGGTGTTTGTAGGTCTGATTCTTTTTTATAAACATCTGCAGCTTTTCCTCAGCCAACATCAACACATTTAAATAAAGACTTCAGGTCTGAAGCAATCTCCTATAACAGAATTTCTACTGCATCAAGGTCTGAACAACTTTTACCACAGCATTATTTCAATGGTTTTTAATATATCCAATAAAATGATAATGTAATATTAGTAATACAATGTGAAACCAAAAATTTTATTATAGGAGCCATTTTAACACTGTCTGCATCATAAGGACAACTACCTATTTCAAGCACCGACTCACGTGTCCTGGTGTATTTACACACATAGTTGTCTTAAGAAGGTACAAAATAAAGCGACTGAACTGTGAGTCAGCCAGTACAGGCAAAAACTGGTGGACTAAACCATACCCAGAAACCTGCTGAAAAAGAACGCAGTGTATGGGGCCCTTCAGACGAAGGCAGAGACTTTTTCTTTTCCACTATGTCCAAATGAGCCCCAGGACCCACTCAGCCTTCTATCCCACGGGTATTAGACACTCTTTTGTTGGGAGTAAAGTGGACAAGGCTATGAAGTTAATCACCATCATCTTATGTCAAGGTTAAGGAAGCACAGTACTATACCTCCCTCCTCTCTCCCATATCTTCAGCGGCACAGTACTTAATTAATCACAAGAGACAACTCCGTCTCTACTGTCCTTTTCCATTAGCATCCAGTTTGTACTACATTATATGAGTCGAGTTTCTAAGTCTATATACACACAGAATTTTCAAGAACTCTACAAAAGCTGTCAGACAATGATGGACATAAGCAGGTTTGAAGAGATTAAAGCAGTCACACCACCAAGCACAACACAATTAGCACAATACAGTTCTCGCATTCTGTACAACCCATGTATTTTTCCACACAATGCAACAAATAACCTTGTCCTGCTACCTCATAATATTTGCTTCAGTAGTTTCTCTTACACTCTTAATTGAAACACAAATGAATTAAGTTCTTTTTCATTTCGTCTGTAAATGAAAGTTAAGGATACTTTTACTTCACTCTTTGCGCACACATGCGCAAAAAAAAACACAAATTCACATTTCCACACATAAAAAGTGGAGCTAAGACACTCTAGAGAATGACTTATTAACACAGTCAACCTAATTTTGCGCTGGCATCAAGTTCACACAATAAGTTACTCTGTCAATTGTGTTTTGCAACTGAGCACATATTAACGAGTGAACCCAGACTTAGCATATCAATCAATTTAATTTCCTAACATGAAAACTTTTTACCAAAGATCGGACATCAATTGGCATAAATACAGCTAACGCATTAATGGCTTTCCAATCAGTCAATACAGACTTCTTCATTTTTAGAAACAGCTTCAAGAATGTATGCTTCATTATTTCTTACGTCAACTGAACAGACCGTGTCCATCGCACACACACTACGAGTAAGGTTTCTTAAACTGAAATTTATAAAAGCTGTCTGCATACACTGTGTAACGGCATATAAGCCCTCAGCATCTGGCATAAAATGGTTGTATGTTTTCACTTTGGTTTTTCATAGATATAATGATTTTGTGTAAAAGATGCTCCATTAAAAAATTACTACTCTTCCATTTCTAGTAACTTACACATTTTCACCACCTCAATCCAGATTACTGCTAATGTGGTTAAAACCTATGTATAGAAATATGACTCATTTGGTTACTTCCACATCCCACAAAAGCAACTGCCGATCATGATAGTATAAAACATTGAACTGCGTAGTTACCACACTGACAAAAAATACAAGATTTAATACGTTAATGTCAACAGACACAAAAGACAACAGTTGAAATTTCGACAGGAATTAATACTGAAGACTGAGTTTAAAATGAAAAATGAAGTTACAGCTGCTTAAATGATGCCAAACAATATGACATAATAACTCAACATCTGCTCACCATGAAGATCAGTTTGTACAATTTCCAAAATTAATCTAATATTTAATCAATAAACAATTCAATCCTAAAAAGAATCAGTCGTAAATATTACATACACTATCAAAATAAACTTCAAAGTGCACTCTTAACACAGAAATGTGTCACCTTTAAAGAAATGCTGTCAATAAGGCATAAGAAGCAGTATTTTCTTCATCTGAGTGTGTAATGAAACGAAAGGTACCTACATATTATTATGTACAAATATCAAGAAGAAACGTCTACTCAGAAATAAATACTGAAATAAATACTCAAGATATAATGCGTAAATTAGTTACGTGCAAAGTGAAGAAAGAAGAGTCAACTATTACAGTATCATTAGGTACAGTATAAATTAACATATTTCTTGTTTTCTAAAGAATTAACAATTTTAAAATATGTTTATTCTTGCAAATAAAAGGAATTTGTTCCTTTGATGAACAATAACATTTGTATGAAATTAAAGCCTCTTAAAAATACCACAAAATTAGCAACCTCCATTTGTTTACAAATGGTGGTCATCAGTGTTAGGTACATCAGGAAATAATATGTTTATCAACATATTTTCATCTATATCGTAAACAGTTTAAATAAAAAGTTTCATAACTATGAAATAATAATAATAATTTGTTTTTAAACTATGTACTAAAATCCTGAACCATATGTTCTCAGACCTGCATTTAATGGAGTAAAATCTGGTAATCATGTGTTCCTTCTCTTTCCATGATTAATATCCATGAATCAACGCACGGCCGTGATACTGATGCAAGGAACAAGCTCCTCATCCACATCTTCTTCAACCACCACAACGCCATCCTTGTGGTCTTCCATCTGACTAGTAGCACTGGCACCAAGATCAGGTCCCTTAAATGCCTCCGCATGCAGGTTCTTGGGCAGGCTATAGTAGGAGTTGGGCTGGGGAGGCTGCTCCGTGCCACGCGGATCTGACCAACGCTTCAGACGCGAGTGTGGGCAGCTGCCACTAAGGTCCACATAACACCGGTCGTGATTGGTTCGACGCGGGTGAAAATTATTCCGCAGGACTGGAGGTGTAGCTACCGTGTCCAGACCGTTAGACATCTCTCCAAGGAGCACATGATTTGTACCATCCACACTGTGACTACTACCTCCTGAAACCACAAGTAATCATGTCACAAGCAAAGCAGTCAGAAAATTCCCACAGTTTCAGGCAAGTGCAAAAACTGATTAAGAAATTTAGAATGATGTTTTATTAATTTATTGTCCAGAAATGGCATTAAATGTAATAACACGATGATACGTACGAAGCTTAGAACATTAATATCCTTCCTGAAATCGATCTTCCCAGCATGAAGATCAGTTTTTGCTGTTCCTATTTGTGGGTTAAAAGTATGATAAATTCTGGCAGCTATTATTTAATTTAAAACAGCTGTGTCACAAAAGTGGGTTAGATTCCAAGGCACACATAACAAGAGTTTACTAAAATGTAATAAGAATAAGAACAACCACCACAGGTCAGGCTGTATAAAGGCCTGACAATGGGTGACGATGGGTTTAAAAACTGCAAAGTTACAAAAACATAATATTCCAGGCTGTGACGTGGTATGGCAGTGACAGTGCGATTAAGGAGGCAAAGCCATGGATGCAAGAGATGCTACGAGCAATAAAAGAAGAGTTTCTGCACCTTGTCAATGAACAGTGCAAAAATTAAAACTGTAAAATAACACAAAACTATGTCTGTATCTATATTTTAAAGAAATGGCATTAAATGTAATAACACGATGATACGTACGAAGCTTAGAACATTAATATCCTTCCTGAAATCGATCTTCCCAGCATGAAGATCAGTTTTTGCTGTTCCTATTTGTGGGTTAAAAGTATGATAAATTCTGGCAGCTATTATTTAATTTAAAACAGCTGTGTCACAAAAGTGGGTTAGATTCCAAGGCACACATAACAAGAGTTTACTAAAATGTAATAAGAATAAGAACAACCACCACAGGTCAGGCTGTATAAAGGCCTGACAATGGGTGACGATGGGTTTAAAAACTGCAAAGTTACAAAAACATAATATTCCAGGCTGTGACGTGGTATGGCAGTGACAGTGCGATTAAGGAGGCAAAGCCATGGATGCAAGAGATGCTACGAGCAATAAAAGAAGAGTTTCTGCACCTTGTCAATGAACAGTGCAAAAATTAAAACTGTAAAATAACACAAAACTATGTCTGTATCTATATTTTAAAAACAGGATGAAAGGCTATTAAAGGAGAGTAGATACGTTACATGTATAACCAAGCAGTGGTGATACAAACAATTCATATTTGAATTTCTTTCTGGCACATATCCATACAGACCAAGATCTTCAAGGTATTCCTCGGACTCTACTTGCATATTGTAAATGCTATGATAGCAACACAAAATTGGCGCTAACTTCTTATTTTACATAAACATATTCATGTTTTCCACTACGTAACACTACATAATCTGTGTACTTGGTACATGACTACATTAAATAAATACCAAATGTTTACCAAAGTTCTGCAACAGGCACTGCCTACCTGCAAGGTTAAGAACAAGGCCATTAATCAACAGATTGTCACTGCTCTGTTTTAACTGTTCCACTGTCCTTGCTGCCAGTCGAATGCTCCGAGTTGGTGTCGAGATAAAGATGCGGGGCCGAATCCTTGTCATCAGGGGCGGCCGTCGCAGACAGTAATGTGCTAGGGTATGGACACTCATCTTTTCGCACTTCCACAATGCCCATACGTTTGCGAGTCTGATAAATGATTACCACCCATACAATAGAAGTGCCAACTGCACAGCACACCACTGCGATGATGATGATTCCTGTCATGTCACTCTCATTCATGCCGGGGCTTGCTGCAATCAGATGCAGTAATTTTAATTACTGATTTACAATAAGCCTACTACTAAGAAATTCACCTCTTGTCATTACAAATCATTCTAGTAATACCAGTGGAAAACTGGGTAATTAAAGTCATCCATCCTTTCACTTTGTTACAAAATTATGCTGTTTCATTAGAGCAAAATTAATTTCATTTCTTTTCATTTAAATTTAAGCAACAAACTTAATGTCTCTCACCTGGAATGACAGAAAGCTGCGAGAAGCCCTGTTCTTTACCCAGCGTGTTAGACATCTCACATTCGTAAGACCCAGCATCAGACAAATCTGTGTCTACAATGACTAGAAGCTGATCATCAGCAGTGAAGAAATGCCTTTCCGTGACAATAAGATCTCTGCCATCTTTCCTCCATGTCAGTCTGGGTTTCGGAGATCCTGACGCCATACATTCTAACACAATGGGTTCCCCAGCAATTATCTCCTTATTTTCCATTGGTTTCACAAAAGATGGTGGTTCTGGAAATAACAACCTCTGTTACAAAAACATGTACATTTCATTGTTGACAGCAACACAAATTGTTGGACAGCAATGCAGTGAAACAACCGTCCACTTACATCCATTTGACATACATTATTATCATTACAACTTTGAATTTGAGCTGTAAACTCTGGCACAAGTTAAAATATCAATGCATTACAGTGCTATGCAATATTTTATTAGTCCACTTATCACAAATAAATAATTCTTGATTTTATTCAAGAATGTATTCTGCTGAACAAAACTATGCATTGTTCTGACTACAAATTAATCAGTCTATACAGCATTCCTTTCATCAGCTGTCAATGGTAAACAATCTACTGGTTCAAATTATTAAGTATTCTACATTTTCAATGTTTAATACATCAGAGCCCCCCCATATTCGACACAGACCTCAGTTTCTTCACATGAGTCTTGCCTCTGTATCTGGTCTAGACCAGAAAGATATATGGGTGAGATTTCAGGGTCTCAAGGCAGTGAATATGAAAATGGTTGTCTTCTTGGTTGCTGCTCCATGCAATCTAATAGAAGTTCAACGACATTTGAGATGTGCTCATTGTCCTGATGATGGAGGCAGCAAGCACCTCTGAAACATTGCTACAAGACTACATAGTACAATAACCCGGAAGACAACCATCTTCAGGTATCTTATTTTTCTTCCTTGGCTCTACAACCCAGTTGTGGGTCTTCGCCGCATCCTTTTCGGAGGTTTCCTAGTCTTTGAAGTGTGCATTTGTGAGTAGTGAGTGACCAGCCAACTGACTGCACAATTTCTACTCAATCCTTATCTGACTGCTAGAGTCATCTAGTAGTGAATCAGAAGGGACTTCGGTGAGATATGGCTGCTGAATTTTGCTTACAAAACATCTCGTTCATATTCATAAGGTTCTTTTACATGCCGTAAATCTACAAAGTGGGACCTCCGAAGGAAGTTGTGCTGCCGATTTTTGCCACCCTTAAAAATCCATCGACCAGGGCCGGGTTTGAACCTGCGAACCTTGCGTCCAGTGGGGAGCACGCTAACCACTAGTCCACCGAGGGCGACCATCTTCAAGTATACAGGACTTAAATCTCCTGTGTCCACACAGAAGAACATAATTTAAATGCTGGCAGCCACCCATAACACCACAATCCATTAAATAAAAAGTGGTTGACATGGATTGACTAACCTTCAACTGTTAAAGAAGCATTAGCAGTGATCACTCCAGCCTGGTTTTGAGCTGTACAGCTGTAAGTACCCATATCCACCGTCTTCACATTCAATATGAAAAACACATCGTCTGTTGGCATCACATGCATGCGTCGCTCCCTTGCAGCTGGGAAGTCATTACCACCATCTTTCTGCCACGCTATCTCTGGAGGAGGCTGCCCCCTTGCTGCACACTCCAGACGAGCCGTGTTCTTTGTTTTCACTGTTATGTTTCCTGGGGTCTTCACAAATGTAGGGAATACTGAAGCACAAACAATTTGTTTTAAAACACCAATACTTCTCAACCACATTACTGAATATTCAGTCTCAACAGCATTAGTGGAGCAAATGAAGACACACAGCAAGAAATTAAATAAAATAATTATGCAGTTTATGAGATTTCAGATCGTCACAGTGGTCAATATCAGTCTTCTGGGATGTAATTTCATGTAGACTTTTTCTTTTTGAAGGCGTACAGTGCCTCTATATTTAGCCCTGAAGATGCAGAAAGCATGTTCCTCCAAAACATTGGTATCTACCTACAAGTCCACACTGCATTATAACCCAAAAGACCAATAATGTGAGATTTCAGGTTCTCATGGTGATGGGTACGAATATGGCTGTCTACTGGGAAGTTGCACTGTGTAATCTCGTAGAGACTGGCCAAAACACGGAGGTGCTTCCTGCCTTCGTCATCATTGCCCTGATAACAAAAGTAGGAAACAACCCAAAGACATTAGAAAATTTCTATCAAACTACATGGCATAAAATCCCAGACGACACATACCTTCAATGTCAACACATTTCTTATGAACAGATTTGCCACCCAAAAGATGGTAAAGTGACCCTGGAGTTTAACAAAGCATCACACCATGACATGTGATCTTGACAACAGATGAAAGTGAACCATCAAGATGTGCAATTATTAGCTGTTCTTAACAGCAGCAACATGCAGCACAGTTCAGCGTACGAAAAAATGTGACACATACTTAAAATAACAAACAAAATTCATCATGCTAATTATAAGCATCCAATGTAAAAATTAATCATGCTAATTATAAGCATCCAATGTATAATGTGATTACAAATAGTCAATTAGAATCAATTACACACTATATAATTACAAAGGTAAAGAAAAAATGTTATGTACATAAACATAAATTACAGGTAGTAATTTTGTATATTAAATAATTACAATTTAAAATCACACTTATGACATGATTGCTTTTCCCTCCTACCATACTAAAAATCACTTCAGTTCCTGGTTGATAAAGCAACAAATGATAAACAAATGAATTCAGTTATACATACTTAGAACAGAGATCTTGGCCTTTAACGAATATGTTGTTCCGTAGTTGTTGGAAGCCACACACTGGTATTTGCCTGTGTCACTGTCTGAAATGTTTGCTAGGTACACAAATGAATCATGCTCTGTGCCCTTCCCATTGGGACTGCGGGCAAAGTTAGTGATGTTGCCGCCTTGAAAGTCGAGATTATCTTTCTTCCACAGTATAGTCATTTTAACCTGAGATGATGACACTGCTTTACAGTGCAATGTAACATTTCCCCCTTTCAATGCGACCTGCGTCATAGGGTCTTCAGTGATGCGGGGGTTTGGAAAATCATCTAAAAAAGTTAAAAAGTGTATTTGCACATGGAGTATATACAAAAAGACATGCTCTACGTGCAAAACCAATCCTGCAGTTAAGACTACCATTTTGATCTACTACTCTAAAAATCAAAAAAAATATGTATCTAACAAATTAAAAAATATTTCTGTTGCACCAGTCACAAATTTTCAGATTTAAACTTTTAACAAATTAAATTTATAAGATCAAAGCTAAGAGAAGTGAGGTAGATACATATATAAAAACTGAACCTTAAATGTGGGAATATTTGGCATTAGTAAACCTCAGACTGGTACTCAACTGTCTCAATTCTGCCTCAACCACAGAAATGGCAGTAAAATTCCTGGTATTGCTGACAACAGCAACTCCTTTCACAAGAAATACAACTCAAAATAAGAAAATGAAAAAGTCTTATCTGCTGAAAAGTCATCAGCTACCACTTTTAAGACTCAGGATCTTGTTTCTCAAATGGATTGCTCACTTTGCTAAAACCTTCCTTTTTAAAATCTACTCTGATGAACCCTAAAAGCATCTTATGAGGGTTTCATTATGGGAACTACTGAAATGAGAAATCAGACAGTTTAAGAAGAAATAAATGAGAATATCCCGCTGTAGTTACCGCAAGTAAATTTTCCAGGATGCACCTGCGTGACAAACTTCCCTTGCAGCCACTCAGGATAAGCACAGATAGCAATAATGGGCGTTTGAAAAACAGCCTTTTCAAGCCAAGCAGGAAACCACTTAAGTCTGCAATCGCATAACAGACTCGTTGTGTTTATAAGAAGCTCCTTCAGTTCTGACATACTGGAAAAGGCATTCTCTTGCACCGAAGTAATGTTATTGTTGCTCAAGTCGAGTTTCTTCACTTTATCCAGTCCCATAAATGCTTTCTTTGTGATAGACTTGATGTGGTTTGAAGCTAAACCAAACCTGAGCAAGCGGTTTAAACCGACAAACGCACCGTTCATATCCTCAATTGTTGTCGATATCCTATTTGAATTCAATTCCCTGAAACGGATAATTTATTTTGTCACCTCATTTACTTTTAAATGCTTTCTACACAGAGAAGCTTTCATTACATTAGTATTTTTAAAGTCATAAGTTACAGATAATTAGGTTTCGTAAGAAACATATATATATAAAAGCACAACACACTATGAGACATCACGTATGTGAATGACTGTCAGGACATCCAGCTGCAGGAAATGTGCAACAGGACAAGACTTGGAGAAAGGATTCAAAACAACAAAGACAGAAAAGATTCCGTTACTGAATCTACTTAACGTCAGTTACTTATATCTAACAAATACCATCACTTCAGAGGACAGAAATTCACACAGCTCTACACATAAAGGGCCTGTTATTGTCATCTGATTTGGACCAAAAGTGAATACATACATAATCTTCAGTAAATCTTACACTTAAACACAGATTGATTTATTTATTTTATTACAACAAACATTAATTAAACAAATTTCCAGCAAGAACTACCCAACATGTGACATGCATAAGTCACATTAAAAAAATATATAAATTGATATTTTCTCAGATTAAAAAACCCTACATTCTTATCAGTTGCCTGTGATGGAGAAATCATTATCAGTTCCACTAATAACAGAGAATTGAATTGAATTATAATGGCAGTGTGTGCAGTAAGAACCACACTACTTCCAAAGTCAAAAGGCTTCTTCTTTCAGAGCTATGTACAGTTCAAAGAACATTTGTGAAAGGGAGGGAACATCAATCTACAACACAGTACTCACAGAACTTCAAGCGCAGGAGTGCTGTTAAATGCACCTTCAGCTATATACGTGATACTGTTCTTATTCAGATGTAATTTTTGTAACTTGGACAGATGTTCAAATGTTTCTTTCTCAATTGCCTCCAGGTTGTTGTCTGATAAGTCCCTAAAACAATAAATGCAACTATAAAATACAGGTTAAAACAAATTTTGACTCCATGGAGTAGGATATTTCCCACACACCAGTGAACCTTCAATTCCTTCAATCTTCATGACATGAACCATTTTGTGTCCTCTTCTTCACTTCCTTTCTTTTCTTTTACAACTCAGAATAACATTAGGAAACTTCAGGTTAGAAACCAAATATTGCATTATTATTTAGTACTTGAGAATGTGTCTTTGCTATTGTCATCCCTTTATCAACTTCCAAAATACGAGACAATTAAAACACGAAACAAACTGTACAGAATGTACTGCAGCTCCTTCATGGAGACCGCATTCTACACATAAAATTCTGCAAAATAATGGAAAAATACACTTGTCAAATAAGGGTCAATGCATTAATAAACAAGAGACCATAGAAATTCACATTTGACTTTCAGTCGATCTGTTTTCAATGTACATGCAAACTGTGTGTGTCCTGAATACATAAATAATTTTGTGAGTTAACCACTTACAATTCCATCAGTTGCTGACAAAACTCCCATCCATCTTCCTCAATACTTGATATATGGTTACTACCAAGAGTAAGTCGATGCAGTGAGCTTAGGCCATACAACCAACCTTTGGTAATGCTTGTAATGTTGTTGAAGTCCAACTGTCTGCAACGATACAATCAAATCAGTCCAAGGATTCTAGAATTATCATAAATAATACAATGTTTAGCTTCATCTCCTAACAGGTATACTTACAAAGTACTCATATTCTTCAGTCCCCAAAATGCACCATCCAGCAGGGTTCGGATCGAATTGTGCCGTAATTTAAGGACACTGAGACCCTCTAAGCCAAGAAATGACAATCCTTCGATTTCAGTAAAATGATTCCTATTTAGCTCCCTGAAAAGATTACATATCAATATGACCAAACAGTGTACTATTTAACTTCCAGGCATCTTCATTTGCTACATGGCAACAAATTCCTCTGCTGATCAATCCCAACTTCTTCAATACTACCTAGTTGTATAAATAAAACTGCGCATCATTATTTCAATACACGTGAACTTGGATAAGCTATATGCAAAGACAAAACAGGTAAAGGCACATACAAATGGCAAGTGTCAGACAGAAAATTGCTTTTGCCTTCATAATAAAACAAGACGCTCAAGAACGCCGCAAGTCAACTTATTTTGTAAATACTGGCAAAGAACGAATTTATGGAAATAACTCATGAGATAATGTATGATTCAGGCAACAGGGGTAAAACAATGCATAAATATTTAAAAAAATACAGACTATATTTTATCCCTTTCCAGTTGTAACACTGTCACAATTTTCTGCGGGAAGGACACACAAGAAATTATAGTATACAATAACAATCTACTATGCAATGAGTTTAAAATATCTGTAAGTAACAAAAAAGTCAAAACTTACAAAATCCTCAAATGCTTAAGATCCTTGAAGACTTCTTTAATAAACTTTGTGAGGTGATTGCGATTCAGTCTCAACTCTAAAAGCAGTGGTAGATTATCTAAACTGCCCTTCTCAACAGTTGAAATTCGGTTATTGTTTAGATTTCTATAACAAGATAAGTAACAGGTTCATTACACATGTGCACTGTACATAGCAGATTACAAATATACCGTACTCAAGGGTACTTCACAAACAGGGAAATGACACTATCTAATAGTGTGAATGCCTGGATATTAAATAATCAAGACTCTCAACATGTACTTTAAACTGTAGCATCGGGTTGAAGGCTCACAATTGCTACCAAGCTTCTGAGTACAAGCAGAACAAATTTAAAAATAATGTGTATTTTTTATCGGGTTGAAGGCTCACAATTGCTTCCAAGCTTCTGAGTACAAGTACAACAAATTTAAAAATAATGTGTATTTTTCAGTCAATTTACAAATCTGCAAGGAAAATAACACTAGAGAAATGCTGGTAGGATGGGAAAAAAACATAAAGGTACATACTTCCTCCGCAAAATACCACTAACCATAGGAAATTCAAAAATTCTGAGAATGACATTATGTGATGAATTACACTCTAAATACACTTTTATAGACATAACAAAAATGAGTTACAGCTTTAAATATAAATATGCAATACTTCTTCTTAAAACAATAGATTTACATTCAATATTTTGCATTCTGTTCCTGTTTTTTTCTATTTGATGGACTTGACGATAATGAACCTACAATTATAAAACTGAAAAGCCGAACTAAATTATCTAACCACGTGTCAAACCAAACATGGTACCGGCTAAACAACTGAGGATCAATTCTTGAGCAGTTTTTTTTCTTCACAGCCATATTCAGAATTTGTCTATGACCAACCCAGTTTCCAGACCAACAAGTAACAGAGGTTCCCTCCCTGGAGGAGAGCAATTTCAATGTGAAGAATCTGATTACGCACCTCCAACTAGTGTCATGGTTAAAAACATGTACAGATTTGAAAATGGCTGTATTCTGGGTTGTATATCCCAGAAGACAGCCATTTCTGTACTCACTGTCGCGAGAATCTCAAATACTAAAGGTTTACCTTACTTTACATTTATTCCTTCATAACATTGAGCTTACACAGGGGGAAATGAATCTTCACCCTTTATCATAATTCAGACTATCAGCATTTACTGCAGTTTTTGATTACTTATCAAAACTGAAATGAAGCGGTATATTTTCATGTCCTATTAAAAATATCAATAGTGTTTACAAATCCTTATCTCAATCACAGACACAAAAAAAGATTAATCTTTCAAGATAAATGTATTTATAAATACACAAAGATAGGAGAAACTACACAAAATAACAGTTTCTTACAAAACATACAGAAAAAATTAGCAAACTTAAATCTTCAACATTCTTGTGCACCTGAGGTATTTCAAAAGCCACAACTAATACAATTAACAGGCATTGTGTGCATGGCTGCCAAACTGATCTCAAAATGTGTTCATCAGGGTATTCCAGTACAGATATACAACACACTGTATTTATATATTCATTACCTGACAACACTCAGACTATATGTCACATAATAAGATGATTAATAAAGAAGTGGAAAGGATGTGAAGTAAGTTACAACTAGCATTTGCCTAGAGGAACTGAGAAAAACCTCTCTTAGGATAACTAGTCTTAGGACTGAGATATGAACCCATGAACTACTGAGTACAAAGCAGGAGCACTGACCACCCTCCTACAACATTCAGTAACATACAATAAGAAGTAACAAAATGGTGACAATTAACTCATTGCTCTGGATCCTTTCCTAATAGTTCCTCGGTGTTCAAGGAACATTTCCTACAGAATATCAAAGTTCATCGCCATCACCACAAAAATGCAATCCAAGACTGTATTCTGAGCCAGTTAAATCCTGTTCACAATCTTGCAGATCCACTTTTACATCATCAAAATTACACCTCTCTCTCTTGTATGACCTCTGTCCACAAGATTTCCTCACATAAACTTTAAATGCATTTCTATTTTCAAATATAAATTGCATGATCAATTTAAAATAATTTAACCATTGGTAAACTTCAATCAGATTACACAGCACTACAACCCCGACTTTTCAAATATACATTGCATGATCAATTTACAATAATTTAACCATTGGTAAACTTCTATCAGATTACACAGCACTACAACCCCGAAGACAGCCATCTTCAGACTCACTGTCGTGAAAACCTCAAATCCTTCTTTGGTTTATTTGTTTTGTATAGTTTCTTTAATGAAGCTGTCAGTAACACAGACCATACAGTATGAATGAGAGTATGATTAATAAATCCATTGAAAAGGATGTGGAAGGAATCAGCTATGGCCTAATTGAAAGTACTATCCCAACATGAAGGAAATGAGGAAAAACACAGAAAACCTCAGCTAAGATAGCCAATCTCTGGGCCAATATTTGAACATGAGATGTCCAGAACATGTAACAGGAGTGCTAGCCACTCAACTAACATTCAACTGGAGGTTCGGATAGTTGATGCATTTCCAGAATTTGACACCTGTTTGATGTGGTCTGCTTTTACAAACGTGTTTAAAAAAGAAGGCAACAAAAACTTCTATGTGAAGAACTTCATTCTTACATGACACATCAGAAGATTTTGGAACACATCACTTTTCTACCCAGTCACCACACATGTTCAAGCGTTTATCCGACTGTTGACCCCAAGGCATCTGTCACGGTATAGAAGAAATCAATTTCAAGCACCAATGGTCAGGAAACAACAGCATACTTCACAACACCATCAATTTCAGATTACTGGCCAGGTGTCTTAAGGGATGGAATTCACTTGGTGTGTGGTCAGGACTGTGTGGCAAATGGTCCAGAACTTCCCACTCGTGACATACTATTACCTTACTTTTTCAAACACCATTCCGTATATTGGGAGGGAACTCCCCAGAATCCACACAACAGGAAAATTCAACCGACAACTGCCCCAAAAGAAACACCGTACAATGCTCTAACTTTTAATAATACGGATCCACAACACAAAGAAATAATGCAAAAAACTGAGTATATTCTGCAATTTCAGCTACAAGACTGACATGCAACTTACAAATTCTGAATGCTGGATTTAACAGGGAAGCTTGCAACACTGATGTCCACAAGACGATTGCTGTTCAGGTCTAGAGATTTCAGACTGGTAACATTTCTTAAAGCAGAGCAATCAATGTGCTGAATCTCATTGTGTGACCTAAAACAAATTTGCCTTGTTAACATAAATTATGACTTCTGGGTTGTGATGCCTTGTATGTGATTACAAGCATTCTAGATAAATGTATCACCTTCATCTTTACATACATATTTGTCTTCATGGTACATGCAGTATTTTCATACAAAACTTTCATACCCCACTACAAGACATCACAACTCAGGAGACCATAATCAACACTTTCAAGAGTGTGAAAACCTTAAATCTGATATTAACTAGCTAATGCTAAACAATAAAGAATTTCACATCAAGCAGTTTAAGATATATTTGCACTTACAAAGTCAGGGATGCTAGATTTGGCAAATCATTTAGGACAGGAATCTCTGTGAGGACATTCTTATGCAGCTTTCTGAAAGAAAAAACAGAAACTTAAATACTAGCTTATCAACGCCCAACACTATAAGGCCCACTTATAATTTCTCATTCATTTTGTCAGTTCTTAATAATGTCTATAATTAGCACAATCACTGTGCAATTTCATAGTAGGGCTTTTCTAGAAGTGCATTAGTTCTTCGCAGTACAGGATGGGGAACACAGACTAAACTTAAGACTAAAATCATAAATCCACTATTACAGATTGAAAATTGACCAACAATCAATTATTTTCTATGCTGTAAATCAGATTATCATGTCACTACATGAACTGGGAAAACTCACCCAGTAAGAATGAAACACATACATCAGAGAAGTCCTTGAATAAAGGTCTTCAAATATTAACTTTTTGAATGATTCGTTTACTTACATGCCTATATAATTTTTGTATATATAAAGTGTAAACAGTCACATTTACTTAGCATGAATTTTCATCTACTGGTAGAAACATACCCATTATACCTAGTCACATTTACTTAGCATGAATTTTAAGCTACTGGTAGAAACATACCCATTATACCAATTTTGTTCCATACACATTGATAATTTGCACAATCACATACACAAGTTGGAATACTCACAATCCAGCAAGCAATCGTAAATTCCTCATCTCAATTACTGCATCTCTTAGCTGATTTGAGCTCAAATCCCTGGTGGGGGAAAAGAAATGTGAATAAATACTGACAATAATAAACAATCACAGTTCATGTAGAAGGAACAGTCAACTTCTTAAGATGACTTCCAAACTTGAACAACCTGTTAGCTCAAAAATAATAAATAATGAAACTGCACTAAATAAAATTAACAGCATTATCTCCCAAGTTCACGTAGCTGCCATATTGGTACTACTGATGGGTGGTACTTAAACAGAATGAAAATCGAATACATCCCTCCAAGTGGTAGACTGTTCATACAGATTTTTATAAAAATCAGTATGTTAGTTTCTATAATGTTAATTTCTGTAACTAAATCATTATGATGGGCAGACACATAGAACTGATTCATATCATTCCAGAACTCAGATTCTTTGGAGACTTAAAAGTGTTAGTTTTAATTCAATCATCATAAATGTGCAACAAGAGAATTCATTTTTCCTTAAGAATGAACCTCTTATAATACTGTACACTCTGGTTAATTCGGCCATTGGTTAATCGGGGCAGCCATTTATTTGGGACAAATCTTAAAGAACAAACCTTTTTAACTCTTTATGTGGAACTTCACATAATTGGGGAAGCCGCTTAATTGGGCCAAAGTGTTCTAGTCCTGATGTGTCCTAATTAACCAGAATCCACTGTATTGGACTTCATTATGATAATAACCAACACATGTTTCAAAAATGAGCAGGCATAGTATGAAGAAAGTAAAAATGTTATTTGGCACAATTTCACTGCAATGTGCGTTAAGATTCACTAGTTTGTATATTTGGGTCCTGCTGTAGTAGAATTGTGTTATAATGCTGCCATTATTATAAAAATCATTCAAAAGCCCAAATAAAGTAAATAGATCTCAAGATTTTGATATGGTTAATCAGCATATGGAATTCCACACCAGAGCATAATATACTGCACATGCCATGGCAAAACCAGTATCTCTCTCCTCAGGATTATGAAAATACATGTAACTGATTTGAATAGTTTGCACACAAATCTACTGGTTATAAATTTTGCACACAGTTCATGCAAACTGCATCAAACTAGTCTCCATATACCTAACTCTTTCTGGAGGAAATATTAACACTAAAGACGCACAACTGACAGACAAATGTCCTTCCACACAAACATGCAAACATTTGTCAATCTGCAAGTCATACAACCAAACAATGATTTCATGCTCAGGGCATTAGGCACATGAGGCTAAACTACAAAACCAACTAAATCAATAATTCAATCCATGGAGCAAAGTCCTTCTTAATACATTTTATGGAACCCAAAGGTTCATTACTTGGTTCACAAGAACCTGGTACCAAGTCAATATAAAATACCAAATTTACACAGGGGATAAAAATGGTTTCACATAGCGTTTTTCATTTTGCCAGCATAATCACTGCACATTCAATCACATCTTTATGTTTGAACCAGGTAACTAAACGAATATACAGAATAGCATAACAACTATTCTCAACTAAGACCACAGTCATCAAGCAATAAATGTACATCTCAAAATCCCTAAATCCACTTATATGACTAAAATGTTCCTATTTCTTCAAGAAGACTACAATGTCACAAACCTTGAAACATAATAATAATGCCAATAAGATATACATTATATTCGGTAAGGTGATGATTTTCATGGAGATTCAAAATTCCATCAACAATACAGACCTCCAAAAGAATTATCATCATCCAAATACAAAACTGAAAAACACATAAACAGCATACAATATTTCTAAGAACTTGTTCTGTTTACAAGTGCTACTATTGATATAAGTTAACAAGTACAGCCAATCTTTTCAATTCAAAACAAATATTTGGAGAAGCAACATTGCATCAATGTAATATGTCCTTTAGGAAGGACACATGACCACAGATGATAATAAAAAATACAACCACAAACATTTAGCAATATTTAAGGCTGACAATAAGATGTACAGTTCAAATTATAACATTAACTTCCCATGTGATCTCTCAGTTTTGCATAGACTCCTATACTTTTGCAATGGACATGATAATGCATTATGGTGAGTTTTATGCAAGCCCTTTTCTTAAGAGGATTTACTGGGCACAGAACCATACTACAATAATAACTCCTGGTTTCCAAAAGCAAACACAACAATACAGGACAATGAATGTCATCTGTGTATGTGTCTGCTAACTTTCCTTGGCCAATTTTCCATAAATTATGACAGAGGTCATACATTTGCAGACCACCCCTGAAACTTTAACATGGCAACCATGAGCTCAGAGATGACTAAAGGGAGCACACAATTTGATGTAAACTCTTGAAAATGCATGTTAATAAAAAAATAAAACAAAATTTCTTTACAGACACATCATACCACAGAAACAAGACAGTGATATAGTGCATATCATAATGTTTATTTACTCTCTCCCATCAAATGGTGGAACAGCACCACTGCAGAAGAAACAGTTCATTAAATAATTCAAGAAAAAATCAATTACATCCACGTCCCAGCATTCTACCAGATTTCCATACACAATTTTTTTAATCGTCTATGGTCAGCTTGACCGTCGTGACCCCTTTCAGGGTTTTCTTGCAAAAGTACCACGGTGGTTTTGCCTTGCCTTCCGTGGACAATCTTTGCCCACCAGACTGGAAGAGGATATTGGGTTGTGTAAGTTAGTAATTGCAAACAGAACCAAAATTCTGAAACGGTTAAGTAATCATATACTAAATTTGTTCTAACTTATGAAATAAGGCTGCAATTCACACAACGTTGGCAGTTATATCATAAAATTAATCAAATCACTGGTGATAAGCAATTCAACCACAGAAACCAGCTCATAACCTAAGCAAAATATAAACAAACACATAACCTAAACATCGCAATTAGAATCACTGACAGGTGGTAAAACAAGCCAGCTCGATTCCCGTCAGTCATTAATTAGCATAATACATGTAACAAATTAATAAATGTAATTTTATGTAATGCCGAACTAGCAAATCCACTTACAAAATCTCCATCCAGTCAGGAAGATCCCTGGGCACTTTTGTCAAGCCTTGTTTACTGCAGTCTACGAACGTTCCAAGACACGAACACTCCGCTGGGCAGTCACTGCTTTCTGTCCGTGTTCCAACCATTAAAATCGCCCACATTACAATATGTATAGCTATATACAACGAATAAGGTTTTTTAAGATTTACGTTCTTGTTTATGTTCGATCTAAACGTATACAAAGTGGGGTTTGCCATTTTAACCCACTACTCTGTAACACCAAAAATCACTTCAAGTTTATATCGTCCATTTTCTCAGTAGTACTACATCATAAAATGCGACACAAACAAGAACTTGCTAAACTTTTATGCGCAACCGAACAGTGCAACGAAATAAGCCAAATTAATCACTTCCTCCATTTCTACCTGCCAACACCAGAACTCCCCAATACTGATTAAACCGAACGATAACAACCACGCATTACCAACATAGATATTAACGACACTAAGCTCAACCAGACTTCTCAAGGTCTCTACAAGAACGCCGCCCCTTGCAGCCTATGTCTATGATTGGTAGCGTACTCAAACGTCACTATAGACCAGCAAACATATCTAAATACGTGGTATTTTAAAAACATAAAGCATAACAGGTCGCACTTTATGCTTTATAACAAACCAACATCTTATGAATTGTATGATTTAATATTAATTAATTTGTTTGCCATTGATGATGACCTCTTGAGTTTGAAAAGCGTTTGACACTGTGTCTTTTCAAAGTGTAATCAGTTCTGTTTGTATGCATGATTTTACATATTTAATTACAAAATTACATATGTGACTTGCAAAAGTAAGTTAAGGTATGAAACATTTAAATAAACATCTAACTCCACAGGACTTCTGCCAGAAAACAGTGGACTGAACCAAAGAGAACCCACGCTTTAATTTCTGTCCTCGCATGGAAAGCCCAAACACCCCCCCCCCCCCCCCAAGGCTTTATTTTTGCACTAATTGGTGACATAAGTAGGTGGATGTCGTAGAACAATATTGAACATGGTAGTGCAGAACACATCACGTTTGCATGCATTATTCGCTTTGGGAATAACATGAACGCATATAAAACTAATCGTGTCTGTCCAAATTATCAATTCGAGAACCACGGATCATTTTCATTTGTAATTTATTTAACGATGCTTTTAACAGCTCATATTATACTAACAACAGCATCAAATGATAGAATGATGAATGAAAAATTACTTTAAAGGAAATATAGGGGAGCGGTTGTGGGATAATTTAAGATATTATTTCAACATTTTCCTGGCGGAAAAGGGGAAAACCTCAGTCAGAATAGATTATAACCTCATAATTCGAAAAAAAAGCAGCACGTTAATCAATCGGCTGCTATTTTTAGTATCCTGCTTCAGAAGCGTAGTGAGTCAAGAAATCGGAAGGTTCATAACGTATGTATGTAAAACAGCGCTATTAAATACACCAACAATCAATCAATAAACAACAAATATTATATTGAGTTGTGAATAAGCAATCCTAAAATTATTCCCAATCGTGTAGACGATAACCACTGCAAAAGGTTCAATACATTTAAATATTAGTATTGAACGTGGTCTAAGATAGATGACATACGGTATGTACAACCAGTATTTGTGACCAATATATAGAAACGAAAAGCACTGTAACACCTTGTTTGTAGTTATGCTTACCTAAGCGTACTTTGCTTTATTCTCACTGATATATTGTCTACATTTAACAGTATAGATAATATAAGATGATTCAGTCCGTATAATATGGAATTAATTTGCCCTTATGTATCATGAACGACTAGGAAGTTTCGTTTTGATACGGTTGGCATCAATTGTGTGTTCAAAACTAGTTTACGGATCCAACTTATACAAGACTTATGATATACGGTTTATAACAAAATTTTTGCGCGAGAACAAAGGGGTTTGTGTTTTACTGGAGAAGGGAGCATGGAGGAAGAACAATTCAAGAGGCGTCCTAATGAGCTATCACTATCCCGTGTTAAGACAATAATGAAAAGCTCACCGGATGCTGAAAATGTGTCTCAGGAATCTGTGTTCCTTGTAACAAAGGCAACAGAATTGTTTATTAAATACATGGTTCACGAAGCTTACAAAGGAAGTAGAAATGCCAAAACCCTAGAGTACAAGCATGTGTCAGAGTTGGTGCAGACCCGAGAGGAGCTAGCGTTTCTGAGGGAAATCGTTCCCCGGAAATGCACACTTAGTGATATAGAAGAGAGTCTAAGGCGAAGAGGACTAGATATGAAACGCCCTGGCATTTCGTCTTCATCATCTGATTTGTCACTGTATTCTGACGAGGAGCTGATACTGCCTTCATCAGAGCCCAGAAACAGCAAAGCAGATTCTTCCTCCCTGTTGAAGGGAACAAAAACAGCATCTAGTCCTGAACTTTCATGTGTAAAGCCTGGGTCTCTGTTACGGACTAAACCATCGATATTGAAGTCATCACTAGTAACAGAGGAGTTGATATCAAAAGAGTCAGAGACTTCATCAGGTATGGACATGTCATATTCAAGTACATCAGCATCACCAACAAACTCTGCACATGCACGCCCTGGTACGCCTTCCACAATTACGTTGTCATCGTCATCAAGGGAAATGAGTGTGGAAGGTTCTCCATCCCCATCATTAAGTTTCCTGGATCCTGGACCATCTTCTGTCGCAGTTCCAACTTCACCAATGAGTCTGGTGTCTGTCTCATCAGGTTCACGGACACCATCCCCATCACCTTCTTATTCATCACTGTCCCCCGATCTTCGTTCTGCAGTTATTGCAGAAGGCAAGATCGATATGGGCATTGAAAGTGCATCATCAGATTCATCAATATATGAAGTGGACCAAGAGTAGTTTTAAGGCTTGTTGAATTTATTTGCAGGAACATAACAGTTTAAACAACTGCATACAATCATCTTGGGAGCTACCTTACAAATATGAAGCAGGGATTGCTCCAAAATTCTGCTTGTTTGTTTTTTACAAGCATTTGCTATGAACTTGAGTGAATTTTTTTTTGGAATACAGTATTATCTGTTTTAATGTACATTTTAAGTGTATTTGTATCAAGATGAAATTTTTTTATTCTTTTGTATAAAGTAAATTAGGTAATGTCCCTCTTAATGAAGCACCATGCCTTGGAGGTAAATAGGGAGTAGAGGTATAACTGCATAAATTATTAACCTTGGCACTACATGGAGGTGAAGTATTTCCTGAACAAAATGTTAAAAGTAGAGTTACACATCATTTTTACTATGCAGTCTGTTTTAAACCTAAAATGTGACTGGGACAGTTGTTTTACCAATGAACGTTTGCTGATAAAAGCTGCAGTACACTTGTCTCAGAAAAGGATTTTGGACGTTTGATGAGTATAATTTCAATTTAAATTGAATACAAATGCCAATTTTATGTACCTGGTGTCTTAGGATACATCTGTGTAATCGATGTAACCAGTCTATATAATTTTTTGTTGAAAAACCATTTGCTCCTGAATCTTCAATGTAAAATGATGCAAAATAATGATAGATATGATGCTATAACAGATCTGACAATGATATAAGTGTATTATATAAAATGTAATATTTTTATATAGTTTTGTAATAAAAATCATTAAGTGCCAAGGCAGTGTTATGACAATCCAACTTCATATAATACTGAATTTCACATTAACTACACCACTTAAATTGAGGTTAGGAGACCATGGTTCATGGTGTATTTTCCATGTTCTTTTGTTGTCCAGTATTGTTAGTCATTTGGAAATTCAGTTTCAGTTTGTTTAACAACACTGTGTGTTACCTCAGACTACATAGCATCAATCAGAAATTAAAACTGGCATGTGGGACAAGACATGCTGTAAACATTGTTTTAATAGAATCTATATTGCAATTAAACTGTAACTACATAATTTTGGAGCTGCAAATACATTAGGGCTCTATCCCTTGGTGGGGGGGATACTAAAAATGGTGTTTGAATCAACAGTTTTTTAAAATTAAATTTCCATATAAATAGGACACAGATTCTGATCACCTTAGATTGTTTGAAAGGTCTTGAAATGTACATTTCACTGGTGGTTTAATATTTCACCTACTATCATTTATTAGGAGTAAGAATGCATAAAACTAGCCTATTCAGAAAATGTTGGTGGTTTAATATTTCACATACTATCATTTATTAGGAGTAAGATTGCATAAAACTAGCCTATTCAGAAAATGAAGATGGCATCTTCTGGGATGTTGTACAGTGTAGTCTGGTAGATACTGAATGACATTTCAGGAGTAAGTCCCATGAGGCAAAAGAGATTTTTCAATTACAGCAATCAGTATAGGAAAACAACCATCTCAACAGTAACTGCTAATATAAGAAGTCCCCACTCTCAGAAATAGTGATATTCTGGAGAGGGTTCAGTCGCTATTTCCCACAAGCACAATGTTGTAACTGGAATTGATGCTGAATGACCTAAAAAGACAAAAAAAAATTGAAATCAGAAATTTTGTTGCCTGAAACAGAATGTACAAACAGAAGCAGATTATTATATATGCTATTGGAATAAAAAAATAAATAAAAAAAGCACACATCAGACTGCAAGGTGAACTAACTTCTGTTCTTCCCCTGATTTGACTAACTGACACTATGTTTTGGTTAGAGTTCAGTTCTGTTTGGAAGTTTTGCAAAGAAAAATGTTGCAATATGATAAGCCAAGTGAAGAGGATATGCACTTCATTATGGAAGTTCATGGGTGAAATTTTGTAATGTGAATCTTCCTTCATAAGCAAATACAGGCTGTATAAGGCCAAGGAAGGTACAGTGTACCAATCTGGAACCAGCAGGATGAATAACATAAGATCATGCCTTTTTTTTTTACAAGATTTTAAAAATGGGAAGTAAGTACTGAGAGACAGATCTCAATAGTACAGTTTATATAATTTGTGACAATAGTCAGAATCAAACCTGAGACCTTATGAATAAAAATAAACTTAGCAAGACAAGCAGTCATCTGAAGATTAAAGTACAGCCAACTCACAAAATGTTCTTTTTATCAAACATACCTCAGACAATGGACAATATCCAAAAGTAGTCATATATTGAATCAACCACTGTTAACAATATGATTCAGAGGGAGTTTCTCAGTAATTATATAAATTAGCTTTTTCTGGCAATTAGAATATTTGACAACACATTCTTCAATTTGAAGTTTTGTTTGTTCTCTTAATGGTTGAGTGTGTGGAAATTCACATTTATGACATTAAAAATAAAGCCCTTTACATTTCTTCCATTTCAGTCAATACAATTTATCAAAAATATATACCAAAGGCTATTACGTTATTCTACAGAAAATAAACAGAATTGCTTATATCTTGCTTTAAGAGTTTATTACCATTTTTAGTACAAACATTTGATCGACTGACAAAATTGAACCGGACAGTGTTTTCATTCCAGTCACTACAATGGTGTCTCTGACCTTGTGGTAGGAATAGTGGGGGACCCTTCATGTAATATGGCAACTCACACATGCATTGCTGAACTTATGTAAGCAAACCACTTAAAATTCAATCAAATGTTACATTATTTTTTGAGAATTATGGAAACCTGAATTAATGTTTAGTCTGTGAAAGAAAATACCTTCTGTCTCAGCCTGAATGCAATCATTTGTACACATGCCCACCTGTTCAAAAACATCCCAGGCTATATCTAGTTTCTATTTGGCAGTGAGGAAACCTTCTCAGCTTTTATACAACAGTCAGATGATGCCACATGTTAGGAAGCAAGGATATTTGGTACTACATGAGTACATAATGTGCTCATATCAGTAAATACATCTTTTATCTGTAAGTAATATAAAGAATTTTGGATTTCTGATAGACATGAAAATTTCAGTTCATTGTGTGTGTGTGTGTGTGTGGTATGCTCAAGAGCCTCCCCGCTCAAACTAGTGTACTGTCTGAGGACATAACATCCCCATTATAATGGGAAATACATCCTGGAAGCCTGTTGTACTCTACTGCAGTAAGTATTATTATTAATTGTGAAAATTATTTAAATCAAACAGCCTGAATTCATGAAAGAGTTGTTGACACATACTTGAAAAAAACATACAGCATTTTTGTTATTGTTACGTAAAGCTTTTTACGCTGCCAAAAATATATTCTTAACTCATTAGTAGTAACTGTTAGAAGACTATCATTTCCCTCCTGGCAACATTATAAATTCAGAGTTTACAAACCAAAGGAAATTTTGAATCTTGTACTAAAATAAAATTTGAGTCACTTCACAGTTCTGTATCTTTGTGCATTATTATATAATGCTTTACAAGAAAGCTATTCACTCAGCATATCTAATGTAATAATCAGCTTTGATACAATTATCTGTATTATATAAAAACTCATTTTGATGTTTTTATATTTTCTTGTGCTCATAGAGGCCTAGAAGTTCTCAGTATGTTTCTAGATGGAAAAATGTTCATTCCTAAGTAATGCTACCATTAGAAATCTTTAAGAAGTATTAATGTGGGTGACAAATGTTGAAATACCAGGAAGGTAAGGAAGTGAAGGGACATATGAATGAAAGAAGGGTGGTAAGAGATGAGGGAAAAAATCTTGTTTAACTTTGATGGACCTTTTCTGCTAGCTCTATATATAATTAACCCTTTAAAGCCCAATGGTAACAAAATGTACCATCTGCTTTAACAATCGGTAACTCTTCATTTTGTACTTACAGGTTTCATATGATTCTCACTGAAAACAGCAATTATTTCCTTAACAGCGTTAACCAGTTGATCTTTGTAAAAGTGAAGAGTTGTATTTTCTTTGCAGTACAAATGGATTCTTATATATTATTAGGCAAGCTCTGGCTTCAAAGGGTTACTGATTTAGAATGAAGTACAGTAGGTAATGAATATCCTTTAAATGTGTCGAGGGGGGAGAGAATCCAGTTTCAATCACAATACTGCAACTGAAAACTTGTGAGGCTTTCTTCAGACTTTGCAATTGAATCACAGGGTGGGACAACTTAAACTAGCATATATTTCCATATATAAAAATATATATGGCAAAAAATCACAAAGACTTTTAAGTTTTGAAAATCTCATAATGGAGAAAATATGGGGAAATATAGTCTTACAAACCAAGCTGGAGATCTAAGTACTTACGTGAACATAATTTTACACTACAACGTCAATAAAGTTTCTGTATGAAACACTTTCCAGATGGAGCTTGGACATGTAAACACTGGATCTTGAAATGAATTCATGTCTTAATCTAACATCCAGTAAAGATATTAATAAAGCTTTGGGTCATAAAATTTATTAACACATTTAATCATAATTTAACGAATGTTCTCGTATGTCTGACACTCTACCTTCTCCTGTCATAGGATTTCCATCTTATTCTGTTCTAATTTCACAAGCACTCACACCAAATTAATTTATTTTTAATTATTCACGCTGCAGGACAGGAAGCATGGAAATGAATTTAAGAAATAAGGATTAATAACTAATGCATTATATCTAATAACTGGTCATATGGCAAGATTTTTAGATCAAAAATCAATAGTAGTCGACTAAGAAAATTATAAGGTCCTAACGTCAATCAGTTTTTTCATACTCCTTTCATATCAAGTTATATTTATTTTTAAATCTTGGTACACTTGGAGTTTCTATCTTTTGATGATCCCTATGAGGAGAGAAACCTATAAAATATGATGATGAATCCAGTATTGAGAAACTCCCTGCATTACTGACAACTGACATTCCTTACCATTTTCTTTTGTATTAACATAAAAAATATATGTACATTAAAAAAATCCAACTCTGTTGCACTTGCAATAACTTCTCAGGTGTCCTGTTCCTGCTCTGTTAGTTCTTGGTAGCGAGCGAACATCATCTTCTTCACACAATCCTTGTATGTTTCTCCAGGAAGTGCTCCATATGTTCCTCCCTTAGCACCAAGTCCAGCAGTGGATGCACGATGTTCAGTCTACAAAACACAAGCGATCAACATCATTCTAGAATAAAATACAGTTGCGCTCAGACAACCACAAATTTGTTATGATCACAATGTGATTTTTATCCAAACTAACCGGACAGAGTTGGCCCAAGACAGGATCCAATGACAGAGAAGTTCTTAAACAGCTTATTCATTACAAACTGCTAAATGTACCATAGTTTATATTATTTTTATTAGCTTTATATAAAATTACAAGCTGTTACAAGAAAAAATACCAATACAAACCTGAATGATAGAAGTACGGCCCTGGTTTGATTTTCCTAGACCCATTCCCTCCTGCCAACCCATTTTCTGAAGCAACTTATTACCAACATTATCAGATCCAATTCCAGATTTGGTTGGTTCCTCATACGAAATAGAAGCAGCATCCTCTCTAGTCTTGAGGTACTTTTCCTGCAAGCATAAGCACATACATGTCTGAACACATGAAATATGGGAAATGCAGAAAGATTTTGGAACTGACTTTCACTATATTATGTAACAGTAAAAGTCTGTATGTATCTTGAAACAATTTAGTAACTAAATCAATTTTCTGTGTACTGAAGTGTCATCCCTATGGTATAGATGACGTGGAGGAGGATGCGAGGACGATGGGAGTGAGGGGATGGAGAAGAATTGTGAATGATAGGACAGAATGGAAAAAACTCATCAAACAAGCTAAGACTCACATAGGGAAGATTAAGTGTCATCCCTTCCAAACAAACCAAAACTCATCTCACAGATTTTAATGAATGTTTTTTATATTCGAAATCTTATTAAACATGTGAACGTGGGTATGATGGCATTTCAACTCTTTTCAGTTGTAACACAAAAATATTCTACAGCCAGGACATCTAGAGGAATTAAATAGCTCTGAACTAGTCAAGTTTGAATTAATTGTGCCCAGATGACAGCAAATACCACACAAACCATTCAATAATTTGTTGCCAGTTTGAAGTGGCCAGCAGACCTAATCGACAAATGACACAACTGTGGGAGCATTTCTTGTGTGTTGCTTATATATATCATTACAGTCATATGAATGACCAAATGACCTTCAAAACTTGTAATAAGTTTCAAGGTGACTGAATTTCATGTTAACTTCAATTCTCAGCAATCAACATGAATAAATACATAAATAAATAAATTTGAAATTTGGAAGTAGTTATTTATTATAATTATTTCAAAATGATAAAACACACAGTAGTTTATGAATTTGGATGATGATTACTGCTTAGAAAACACATTTGAATTTTTTGTAAGACTCTTGCCATACGGAAGTTCCACAGCACTTAAATCACATGTTGTTAACCATACTAGAATTCATTAACAGAACTGTCCAAAATAAAATTTTCGTAGGTAAAATGGTTAATACACTTTAAAGTTTTGCTCACATACTTTAAGGTGATTAGGATGAGGAGGTTCTGGCTCTCCAAACTTTTGGCGTCGTTCCTTAGCTCGGTCCCGATACTTCTTATTCCTCTGCTGGGGGTCATTAGGATCTAACCCACGGACATGATACCAACTTTCCAAATTTAATTTGTGTAAGTCTGACAGCTGCTGGTGCCTGTAAACATAAGATATTGTTACATGTTGCATATTCATGGTACCAAGGAAAGCGTATCATATTCACTGGAATTGAGATGACGACAATTTTCAGAGCTAAAATTGAAGGGTCATCTTGAATATAAATGCAAACTGTATAGTGATGAATTTAAACATTCACAACTATATTGTGCTGTGAGAAAGATGGAAATATGTTTCAAGCTCAGGAGACATGAACTACAAGTTTGCTTGAAGTGCCACCAAAGATATGAAAGTGGTACTTTCTGGATGAAATGTAAGGAGATTGTGTGACTTGTCTGTAAGATGCTTACATCTTTACTAAATCAGTTGTTCTTTTACCTGATGAGAGATTCCTTGGTAGGAAACTGACGTTTACAAAGCAGACATGCAAGTTTTGCCCAATTTGTATGTTGTCTATCCTCCTGGATTACATCCTCAATGTCCTCATCACTCTCACTACCACCTCCATATGCTGCCACCAGGCCTCCAGCACCAGAAGAGCTATCCTGCCGATAGAATACAACACATCCACATAGCAGTAACAAGTTAGATACACAAAATATGGGATCACTGTACCCCATTAATAAGACAATATTTCGATAGAAACACTTATGCATATAGAAAAATGTAAGAAATTCCATATAATCATGTAACAGCCAACATCTGTCAAGCTTTAACAAGTGCCCTGTTTGTGTGATGCAGAAAAATTTAATATGAAGGTTCGACAGTAGTGACTCTTGTAGCAAGAAATGAAAAAGTAACAATGATGGAGTCTGGTGCTCAAAGTATGAGAGCAGGGGAAAAGAAAAGGATATAATATTTGCACAGATAATTGTGCCATAAATTATGTTACTGCTCAACACAAGAAAGTCCCATTTCCGTCAACTTTGACAGGTCGTATGCCGACAGCATCCACGGCGTAACAACCCCAGTCGGCTTTGGCTCTCAGAGGGCCGTTACGCCACGGATGCTGTTGCTAGTAGAATAAATAATTCTGAATAAAGTGAAGCTGTAACTCTGAAATGTACATGAAGTGTGATGTGTAGCCAAGTAGCCACAAGTTCAAATTTAGATCCAAACATCCAATTATAGATATAGACAGATACTGCTATTTGTGAAGTATGAAAATCAATCAGGAGTGCACATACGTGCAGACAAGCACACGGCACCTTCAGAACCCAAGAGGAGTGCCTGCTATAAGCAGCACGCTCCACTTCATGCTAGAACTAGTTGGGACACTCGTCTACTTATCAACAGACACCTCTCACTGCAAAGAAGTGGCTTACGGCACAATAAATTTCTAGAACATCCATCATAACATGCAGATATGGGATTGTAAAAACAAATCGGTGGAAATCATATAATTCTGATTTGAACTATTAGCTTTGATATTTTAAAACTATCCAAAGCATAACAATGTGAGAACCACTAAATGGATTTTCATAATATTTGATACTATGTAGTTTTCTTTTTTAAAATCTGTCAATGCATTCAAACTTTATTTAAGACTGAACAACAACAACGGACATTTTACATGCATTTTTTCACAAGTGACAAAGTGAGTATTCCCCAGGTTACCTTAGTAACCATTGTTAGCCAAGTTACCATGTTTACCTGGGGAATTCCCACATGGGAAATTACCGGTCAGCTGCACAACCACATGGGGAATCTTCTGTGATGAAGTCATCACCCAGCCACAGTGGCTCCAGACATCCTGTCCACAAAAATGTTGCTCACTCCAGACACCTCTCACTACGCATGCATTTCCACACTTCTTTGTTTGCTTCTAAAATGTGTTTCATGATTAAAAAATAGCAGGTTTGCAAGTATGTACCTGAGGAGAGGGTGGATCGGCTTGCTTCTCTGTTGGTTCATCAAAGGGAGTAACTTGGAAGTCCGAAGATGGACGATCTTTCCGCTCTAGAACTGCATAACCAGCATCAGCTGCACCAATTGATTTTGACGATGGAAGCACATTAGAAACTAGCGCCAAAGTCTGACGAGCAGTGTCCTTCTTCTGATTCAAAGTTTTAGCCCATCGTTCCATGTCCTACAAAACAGACAAGTACAGTGGCCTATATTCTTTCTATACAGAACAAGACTTTTTTATCAGTCGTAACACGGCAAAGCAAGCAATCTATTAATAGTACTGTAACAGTACCACACATATTCTTGCATTTTTATAAAGTCATGTTTGTAAGTAGCTTTTATATGTTGTGATGACCCACATCATAACTGTGGGACAATTTGTTGTGTGTACTTAAATAACGTTAGTTCAGCAAAAAGATTTATAGTTAATTTGATTAAATAGTTTGTTTTAATAATGTATCTGACTTCAAATTCCTATACCTTAAACATTTTCACTAAAATACTTTATAGCAGACCCCTCAATTTCCATACAAATTAATGACATTATGATGGAGAAAAGTGTACAGGCCTGCATCTGATATTTATGCAGTTCCATGACGGAGAATGGGATGATACATGTGTAGGTCACACCCCTATTTTCAGACTGAAAGTCTGGCACTAAAATTGTGATATATGTAATTATAATCATATTTATGAAAGAACACAGAGAAATTAATAATGAAATTACTGCTGTGATAGTGTATATTCTAGACAGTTCAAAACATATGCTTCAGTATTTAACTGTCAATGTCTCTTATTTAACTAATACTGGAATAACAACAACAACAACAAATGTAAGAGTTGAGGTTTTCGCAGCAGTGAGTATGAAGATTTCTGTCTTCTGGGTTGTTGCGCTGTGTAGTCTGGTCGATGTTTACGATCGCCCTGATGACGGAGGCAGTATGACCTCTGAAACGTTGGTAAACATCGACCAGACTACACAGCGCAACAACCCAGATGGCAGAAATCTTCAACAACAAAGCTGCTTTCAGTATAAAACATACACTACCTTTGCAATTTTCTTGGCTACTTTCACTTTGTCTTGTCTGTCTTTCTCTTTCACCTTCTTTCCTTCATCTTTTCCCGCAACAGAATCTTCTGATGTCACTGGTGCAGGTAGATAAGCTTGCTTTTCTGAATCCCAGTAAAGGAACTGCTGAGTTTGTGCATTGTAATAGTACTGAGAACTAGCATCGTAATACAAACCAGTCTGCGGATCGTAATAATAACCCGAAGTCTCATCATACTGATAAGTGCTAACATCTGGAACAGCTGCAAAGAATATGCAATCATGAAGTAGGGTTATATTTAAATAAAATAAGTTTCTTAGTGGAATATTAGAAAAACTTATTGTACAATTAAAATACTTTATTCTACAATACAAACACTGAATTTAATAAACTAAGAAAGACGTGAATTGGCATAACTTAATAAACAAAGACAAAAGGATTCATACCCTCTATGCTCCCTTATCCCAAGTTCTAGCTTCAAACTTGTCGTCAGTTAAAAATATTTTTAGCATACAAATATTTTACAGAACACATATATAACTACAGTCAAACTCTTTGCATGCAATATTAATTGTTATATACTTACTACACTGTTTACTATTAGTACCAGACTGCGCAACGGCAGTTGTGGGAGCAGTGGGGCTGTGGGTCGATTTCAACTGCGCCATCTTCAGCACATCGGACTTCAGGAGCTGAGGCACTTCAATCTGCTAGAACAAACAACCGGACTAGAGACGGCCGTCTTCTAGGTTGTTGCACCGTGTAGTCTGGAAGGAGTTTACTGATATTTCAATGGTGCCTGCTGCCTCTGAAATGTCAGTAAACTACCGGACTACATGGTGCAACAATCCAGAAGACAGCATCTTTACACTTGCACCCATGAGAACCTGAACCCAGCAAATTTTCTTTTCCTCCTTAATTAAATTTGCAAAGCGTGATAAACTCAAATAGCACACCCACCTGCTTCTTAATTTCCTTGGCAGCTTGCACCTGTTGAATTGCAGATTGCGCCACAGCTGCTGCAGCATTCACACAGTCTGCCTGTGACTGTGTAGGCAGAGATATGGCGGTGCCCTAAAACCAACACATCAGTGTCAACACTCTAGTATGTGATCTTTACCTTCTCAAGTGAGATACTGTTGGAGCTGAGAAAGATAATGAATGAATAAGCAACTGACTCAAAAAAGGATATACAACAGCTTGTACTTTTGAAATTTCACCTATAACTCTGTTAATAGTTTAATCGCTTGAATAACAGTTTTATGAAATCTATCTGGATAAATTCTTAACTGGCAAATTCTTAGACAGCTTAAGAGAATAGCAGTCCTCAAATATGATGCATTTACTTTATATTACTTGATATACTGTAATTTATAATTATAAATAATTAAGATTTTCATGTACTACTTGCCTGTGTTATCTGATTGCGATAGTACTGTTGGTAATATTGTTGATACTGTGTGTACTCAGCAGGTGATGTTGCATACAAAGATGCGCTATAATCAGCCAGACGAGGAATGTCCTCAAGGGTGTACTGTGCCAGGTCTCCACTTGCAGAACGCTGTGCTAATGAATCGTTATCCAATCTCCCTGCTGTGGATGTATTACTTTGGAGATTCTGCACTGCCTTTCGATATGAGACAAGGACTAGAAAAAAATGTGTGAATGAGTCTTCTTGTATCAGAATTTCAAAATTAGATATACAGTGAAACCTCTATCCATCGTTCCCGGAACTATCGTTTTCCCGGATGCATCGTCCGTTTTGTTCGGTCCCGAATACATCCCATATAAAATAATGTTACATTTTCCCGCTTCTATCGTTCCTCGAACTATCGTTTTATCGCATCGATCGTTCAAAAATCTTAGTCCCGGCCAACAATTTTCCCGCAATGATCGTTTCTGAGAAATTGTAACGAAATTTACGTGATATTTTTAGAATTTAATTCCGAAAGACGCACAATGTTTTTGGAATAAACAGTAGCGGTAACCTGTTATGTCGCCCAACCAGCACATGTATTTGTAAAAACTAAGAACCATTATTTAATTAAATAGGTCACTTATATGCAGTGCAGAAGTCAATTTCAACTTGTTATACTACAACTGGTATAGAAGATGTACTTCATATTATTATCTTGTTTATTAATGGACTTGACAGGTATAAAATACCTCATAAATTTGGAATTTTTATTAACAATTTGGTTGTCCTTTTTAAGTTTTTCTTCTTATTTACAGAATTTTTAAAAAATCTGACTTTTCTTAAATTTTGGTATCATTTTACTCCCATCATCAGACCAATGCAAGCAACAGAACAATCACAAAATTCCCAATTCTTTTACAAAGAATTTTAACACTTCAACAGACATCCCATACATAGAAAACAATGTACCTGTATCTCTGTGAAATATCTTATCCAAACTGCAAGATGCCTGAAATAAGTCACTGGAAACAACTAAAGGGGTTATTAATGTTTTAGTGAGACTTAGTAAAAAGTGGAATATATCATAACAGCACACTGCCTTACCTACTGACATATCACTTACATAGTTTCCTAAAATATGAAACCAGAAAGTAAGCTGTCTTCTGCAAGGATATTATAATAAACATCTTAAAAAATTAAGATATTCAGTTCAAAAAATTTACTTTTCACACATGTAATGCACACTGACAGTTTGAAGCAAGTAAATACATACCAAAGGAAATCGTCATCCTACAGATTTTACCTGCAGGTGTAATCTCTTACCTTTCTTCCCATCTACAACTGGAGAATTTGCCACTAAAGCATTATGCATATAAACAGCATCCATCACATGGTTCATTTCCAGATAGCAGACCCCACGTGAAGTGTTGGTCAGAGGATCTTGCCCAATACGAATACTTCGAATTGGAACAGAAGAAATTGATTTAATTGCTTGTAATACTGAGTCTTCAGTTGACAAAACGTCCAGTCCTCGCAAAAGAACGGCTGCAATAAAATGTGAGGCATGTTAGTGAGGTCAATCATAATGAATACACAAAAAGTCTGTGTGACAGTCACACAAATGTCGCTCATTCAAACTCTAACATTTACATGTTTAAAAACAAGTTACTATTTTGTCACTAAATGAAGCTTCATCTAAAGAAATAAAATGTGACCATTTCTTCATCTGAATAAGAAATATTCTTTCACAACAAAGTTTCTTGTAGAGGTCCACCTCTGCCATCAGTTGTGCATGAATAATTAAGAACATTGAATGAACCTCAAAACATGATCAAAGGATTAAAAATGTTGTGAACTTGTCTTTGTACATACAGCAACATTTACCATTCAACTGACAACACTTACTACGAGTCCTATCAAATCTCCATCAGGGGCTTACATTCACTGGCTTCTGAACCATACATGTTCTTCATAAGACATGTGTTGTTTTGTAGACCATGACTAGCACCAAGATGGACACATGGACTGAAATTATTTGTTATACTGAGCACAAAGGCTTTCATCAAGATGAGGTGGTGATCAAGTCCTAATTGAGAATGCAAATTCACTTACTTGAAGTTGGCTGCATACTGACTTCAGCACTTCCTTCCCCACCTTCAGATTCTTGCCGAGAGGAATGACATTTAAAGCAAGCATCCCTTCTCTTGAAATTATGTGCAGCACACTGAAACAAATGCTAATCATGTAAACAAACCACAAGTGTAATCACATACTGTATGGAACTATTTCTGATAGAAGACAAACAGACCTGCAAGCTTATCCTTGGAAGGTAGAAGAAATATTTCTCCTGTACAAAGCTATAAGAAACTTAATTTTCAATCAATACCGAGAACAACAACAAACTTCACTAACAGTATGTCCAGCTAGTCAAGAAATTCCCCACCATTTATGGAAGACCAACAACTTATATCACAATTTAAAATTACCATGAAATAATGAACTGAGCAAAACCTTAAACAGAGAACATTTTTATAAATGAAACAGAGTGTGACCACAGAAGGAAAAAATCAAGTCACATATCACTGTATAAAATCTACAGCATTACTTTAAAACTATCCGGTAATGTAGACCCTATCTGAAAAAGTAAATATGTCAAAACACATGCCACTTTTCATTATTTGTTGTGTATACAACCAAGACTACAGCAAAATATTCCAACTTGCTGTAATGAGGCCAGATTAATCTTAAATTAGTATTAATAAAAATGATATTACAATTTTTGTATAAAATAAAATCTGAATACATTCCTACAAAATGTTTGTAATAACCTACAAGACAACATGGTACCACAACCAACATCCACAAATGATGTCAATATTTGTTCTTCTGCAGTAGAAATTAAATGCTACAAGGCTGTACAAATGGACTACTTCAGCAGCATTACAAACTCTAAACAAATATCAGGGCAAGTAAAACAAATGTACACACCTTAATGCAAATCCAGTCCTGACTGGACTTCAGAGCATTTCTTTCAATCTGAGTTTCCTTTGGAATGCTGAAATGCATGATAGCTCGATACTGATCTTGAAGCATCAATACTCCCTGAAAGCAAACCAATGATGACCAAATTAAAATCAGGCAGAAACGGAGCAACCTGCCCGACCATGCTTGCAGCCCCCTCTCGAGAGAGAGGCCAAGCGGCACAGGAGCGATACCTTTGATTTGTCTCCATCGTAGTTCAGTAGCAGAGAATTCAATGTACTTTAACATTAATTAGTGTTCCACAGATCGAGAAACTCAAATTTCGGCTATAATATAAAGAAAATATAATGTGTAGCCAAGAAATGTCCTTCAATTCTAATGTTTTACTTCTATGTTTCAAACAATATCAAGTGATATACCTACAAATCTAGAATTCAAATAATGGGGCTATGTTTTTGGAAACATAACAAACTATAAAACCACCTCAAGAGGTGAAGTTGTTCAGCTAATGGATATGATAAATGCATGCTTCACTGTTTTAATATCAGAACATAAATACCTACAACAAAATCTGTAATCATCATATGATACACACAAAAGGAACTTAATTGTTTTAAATTTCAAAAGTGAGGTCAATTTTACAGCTACAATTTTGCCTAGATATATGACACATGTAAACGAGAATTTTAGTGTAATCAGTATAATAATGACAAGACAAACACTACAATGTACTGATTCTTTTTGGCAGCAAATCACATTATGAATGAAAAAGGGAGGTAAAAACAATTCAATGTAGTGAACTTGGACTGTTCAATCAATCAAATATACCACTTTCAACCACATCCATAGTGTCTGTTAACTCCCTCATGAATGGAAACAATTAGTTCAATTTCTGTATAAATTAAGAGACTCTAATGAATAAAACGATCAGAGTAAACAAATATGTCTAGTCCAGTACAGTTAAAAATGCCCATGACCTGGGCTGTGCTACAGAAATTAAGGAAATGGGGCAGTACCATTTACACAAATTTCTAAATGCAGGCAGAGCCCTGATGCAATCCACCAATCAAGTGGGTGCCTTACTTCAAAATTATCTATCATTATAATCAGTCAGTCAACTTAAAGGGCACAGCGGAACATGTCATTCACCGGACCTCACAGCTTGGTTGATTACATGTTTTTGGACACTACTTGGACGTATAAGGTTGGCAACACGGACGAGTTAGCGCAATCGAGAGAGCAACCGAGCGAGCCTGTAGGATACCTGTTTCATTTCCATCCATTGAGAGGCTTCCTGGAGCGTGTTAAACTCGACGAAAGCAAAGCCTCGAGATGCACCTACACAGATGGATCAACACAATGTAGTGTTAAAATCAGATATCACACACAATTCCTTTTCTCCCTGCTCACTGGCTGCTTTATTACACATAAGAGGAAAAGGAATTACATTACATTATAACACTCAATATAAATGAAGAACAAAAGCCCATATGTCATACAAATAACCAGTCATCCTTCTGTTTGATAAAAATCACAATCTTCAGTCTGTTGGTGAAAAATGAAAAATAATGATACACTTGGTGATCCAACCATGTGTGACAAATAACATTGTTTCCATGGTTCATCAGTGTTTATCCATGTTGATACAGTCCACAGTGACATCACAGTTTGTAACAACATATCACATATCGCTAAATTTGTTACTTATGGTCCCATGTGAAGTAAACGGAAAACAATTCTCAATACTCATGTTCTCTTTCAAACTTGAGAAAATAATTAAAAATTCCTGTTAAGTCCCTTGTCCACTTTCACTGTTAATTTATATTGCATATACACTTACAATCTTTTCAATATGAATTCTACACCTTCACAAACATCTCACAAGCAGCACCATCAAAACACAAATAATCTTCAATTTGTATCTACATTGTAATTTCCAATGACTCATTTTAATATCATGGAAGCAATTGTACTTCTAGTTCATTCACCTATTTATAGTCTGTACTGATTAGTAAATAAGGTGTACAGATTCAATTATATTATTCTGGGAAGAAACTTGTAGGTAGGTGGGAATTAATTTCCTGTTCATGTCCACATTAGTTGTATTTATGCACATTTTGTAACTTGGTATTTATTTTCTTCTACATGTGGCTGCAAAAATGTAAGCACATTCTCCAAACAGCGAGCTGTGGTGAAAATGTACTGCTGAAGTGAAATCCCATTTCAAACATTTAATATTACAGTGAAAGGCACATTCTAATACTGATGACACTAACAAAACATGTTTTCTGATATGAAGTTATCTATTTTTCATGCTACAGTGACACATCTTTTTATAATAAAGGCATGTGAGTTGCAGAAAATACATCTGAAATTAAACCTGATATTGAACGATTACTCAAGCAAAAGCAGTGACAAATATCTCACTAATGACTGATTTTAATAAAGAAAACTATTGAGTAAAATGTGAACCTATTTGTAATAGTAGTTTAAATTGTCCTCATTTATAACCTTGGAGCCCACTAGACATTTAGCAAGGATGAATGAGGTACTAAGTCTGGAAAAGGCTGTGGACGTAACATATATCAGCTGCTCATATTGAACTACTAATATCAGTCTCATTTTCATTCATCTCTTCTGATTGTTAGTTGGTGGAAAGGTCAACATCTCTGGGTACATATACCATGTGGTAAGTTGTGTCACAGCTCAGGCAGTTTGACACCGACTTCTCAAATGAGATTTGTAGTGTATGAAATAGCAATGAAGAAGGTATTTATCCAAGTTCTTTGGTTTTCTCCTGCTCATCTATCATTGCCCCATGAGGTAATCTGTTCTGGGATTGTAATAAAATTAATATATTTTACTATGCTTTATGTTGCATTTTTACTTCTTGGGTGCCTAATGTTTCAATGTGCACAAAATAATTCATACATCATAATGCCACTGCGCAAGTACCACCAAAGTTTGGGGATTGGGACAGCCGTCCTGCTTGTGCTGCCCTAAGGCAGCCCAGCACAAACACAAAACACATCCACGCACGCACACACAGTAGAATGGCCAATGAGAGACTTCTGTGAGACAGGCTTTAAACTCCAGGGCTCATGGTCAGCGGAATGTTAGTGCAACATCCAGCCAGACTGCGTGTAAGCCACGTTACAGGGCTGATAAAGGTAAAAAGCTCCTGTGAATTATTCCAGCTACTCTTTGCCAAGTGGTACAATAACAATTTCACACACACAAATTCATCAATTAATCAACATTTCCTTGAGCAAAACTGTTATATGGTTTTGTGTTTCATTTTTCATATTTTCTTCTACTTGTACAAAATTTTACAAAAATAACTATTAGAACAAGTGGAAACAAATATTTTCCCTGGCTATTCCTAAAAAAAGGCTCTGAAAGACAGCAGGCAGGAACAGTTCATGTGGGATTCAGTGACTGGAAGGGCCCCCACCCATCTTGTAGTGCACTTTCGATAGTGCAATCTTGTACAACAATATCAAAAACAGGTCAATACACCTGCTATGCCATGTAGCAGTTTACCCAATGTGTAAGGGTAAATAAAACACTTCCAAAGTTACACTGTTTGTTGTGCTGAACTCCAAAATGGCAGGGTCACAATAAAAAACCCTCTGTATGTCTTGATGCTGTGACTGATACATCAGAAGGTAATGTCAGAAAGTCCACAAAAAATTTCTGTTATGAAAACCTGAAAAGGTGTGCCAACTAAAGACAGACCTCATGGATGAAAAGAACTCTGCACTGTCATCACAGTTCAAATAAAATTGAACACCACAATTATAAATAACAAATGCATTACATGGGATCTGAGATGTCCATTAAGCCAAACATTTATACTGTGGTCTTCTGAATTATTACACTGTGAAGGCTCTACCATTCCTACCGTGAAGACAGAGACAGCAGGTTCCTCCAAAGCTTGTAAAAACTTATGATTCTGCACACTTTCATAACCCAGAAAACTCCAATCTACAAAATTAATTTTCAACATTGTGCCTTTAACTGAAGGAAAGAATTCAGTGAGAATCTGTTCAGCCGTTCGCAAGTTGTTACATGCATATGAAAGGATGACAAAGCAATTTTAATATGTGCTTTGCAAGGCTGCAGATAGGTCCAACAAAAAAGATTATTAGGGATTTGTAAGTGTAAAATTATCACAAACAATACTACCTATTTCTAAAGCAAGGTGAAGATTACCCTGGTATGTTACAAATCCTGAAACTCCAACACTTGGCATGCACAAAACTGCATCCACATGGGAATCAAGGAATCTACAATTCCATCACCTTGAGGTAACGACTGCAAGTGTGTGTATTATGCACGAGGAACAACTGTAGGTGTTTCCTTTATCATACTGACCACAGAGTCTAAAGAAACAACACACTTTTGTGTTGTGAGAAATTAGTTTTGTCATCAGTTCATTATTTTCATCATTTCTTGCTCTAACAAAAAGACTTCAATGAATTTAGTCACCACAAAAGCTATAGATCATACAAAAATAACTTGATAAGAAATGCAAAGGATGTAAGACAGCATTTTTAGTGGAAGGGATTAAAATAAAGCATTTTACTTACATTATCTCTGCTGGAAACTAGTGTCCATTACACTAGCTAAATACAACTGATTGGAATTTTGCTACAGATAACACTTTTTTATTAAATAAGATACTGTAAAATATTAATTTATAAGACAATTTCAATTTATAATAATCCCCGAACAATTTTTTACCCTATCACGTGCCAACATGCCATTTACATGTGAAGTTTTCAAAGTGACTGAATGCAACGACATTTTCCGAGTGGTCCCATCTGTCCACTTTTGGACAAGGACACCAGACTCCGAGAACTGTCCGTATAATACAATGGACAACCATGTCACTCATCACATCAGTCTCATATAACAGAAACCAATTTCATACTCACATAGCCGACCGTCTGAAATGACTTCATTGCAAGCTATATGAACGCTAAAAATCGTACGACATAATAAATACCAGATTTCTAAGTTACTGAGTAACTTGAGAATTATATTTATGATGCGTTTTCGTACAGAACCGTTTATGGAATGGCAGATTAGAAGTCGCAATAAAGACAAATAGATTACACATATTTCGTCAACGTAACATAACAAAGTCAACTCACTCTCAAACTGAAAGTGCTGGGAACTTACCCACTTCATCTATGTGCTAGCAGACAACTATATGAAATCAGCCAGTGAGCAAGTTCTACCAGACAATCAAAATTAATTCTGTAACTTCAAACAACACATTTACCTGTATCTTTTTTCCTTATAAGTCGAATGTCTTTTGGCATCAGTCCGCAATTCAAGATGTCTTGTCGAATCTAACAAAAAAAAAAGGTAGCAGTATTATCATCGAAATCAGCATAACCATGAACAGGACCCTCCATACTTTTATTCAAATAGGATAACAGTGTCAGTGAAGATAAAATACAAAATACCACAAAGTATAATACACACACAAAAAGTAAACTTGTATTGGAATGTTACAACATTCTGTTGCCACTGTAATACATTTTTCAGCATTTGTAAATCAAATTCCACTGACCAACATACAATTGAGCCATCAGTGATAAATTATTGTGTACCTGTAACATACGGTTCACCATCATCTAGATATCACCGAGAATAAACATTTTATATGAGTCTGTAACATGTTTTGCACAAAAAAATAAAATTTCTTAGCAGTTATACAAAATAATAACATTTCAAACTGAGAGCTGCTGTCAACAAATTACAGTAATTAAACAACATTTTAGTTTCAGTGGACATACATAACCGCACAAAACATTTTATGATTAAAATGTTTGACTTGTTTCTTTGAAAACATAATAAACTTTACTCCTACTTACAGCAAATCTAGATACTTACATCATTTTCAGTAATGTGCTGTGCCAAGCCTCTAATCATGATTGTATTGTTAGGTGTTTCATATTTATAATTATCTCCATCTGAATCTCCAAGGGCATTCCGGCTCACCCTAGTCGTGTCACTGTGACAAGTAACAGGAGGCATAAAACATGTAATTTTATGGAAATTTATCTCTTAATATGTTAGATATTTAAATAAAAGCAACAAAAACTGCTGTTGCCGTTTCCGAGTATAGTTAAACTGTTTGCAGGGAAATAACAGTACTCTGGGTATTTAAACTAACAAATGAATATTAGTATTTCTGAATATAGATTTCTTACCTTGGGGGTTCCAAACTGTCTGTGCTATCATCATCATGCTCATTCCATCGACTTTCTTTCCTGTCCCAGTCTTTGTCCCTATCATGACTCTTTGAATCTCTTCCTCCCAGCGGCTTAAATGATTTTGTATCTTTTCCACCTCTTGAATCCCTTGACTCTACATAGTCTCTCTCTCTTCCACTATCACTTAGTCTTGATCGTGCATCTCTTCCTTCCCTCAAGGTCTCTCTCGAAGCTTTTGGCTCTCTTGATCTGTTTACTTCCCTCCCGTCACGAAAATCTCTTGTACGATTGTTCTGTGAACCTTGGCCTCTTCTCTCTGTATCTTCTCTGCTGCTCCTCTTGTCCGTATCAGGGTATCGTTTATGATCAAACCTCTGATACCTTCCTTTGCTACTATCATAACTATATCTATCTCGGTCATCATCATCTTCTGTGTAACGGTCCTCATCCTTATATCGGTAATCTTCACGGTAACGATCCACTTTTGAATCTCTGTCTCTGCTTGACCTTCTTATCCTGTAAAGCACATGATTACAGAAACTGACACACACATAGTACACAGATGTCATATCATTAAATTTAAAATCATCCTAATACAGAAATTGTAAAAGCATGGATAGCCTTCAACACAATGTATCCAGCATGGCCACCTGGCTATACTGTTGTTAAAACTAAATTTCAGGTAGGATGAAAAGTGATATAAAGGTACTGTATTTAAATGTGAACAAGGACTGGAATATTTAATTATACTAATTCAAAGCAAAGTGTATCCACTTTTCAAATTCTTAATATTCAGAAATAATGAAAAGGAGCGCAATATTTAAAAAAATATAATGTTACTTTGTAAGGCTAAACACAATTTGTGCCATTCGTGGCAAATGTTGTAGGTATTAAAAAAAACAATACAGTACAAGCAACAGTAATACCACCATGTAAAAAATCATTCTGAATAAATTACAGGGCCTTCCTGGATGAAAATTAATTCTGAATAATTCTTACAGTTAGGAGTTAGAAGTATAATTCTTTTTTAAAAAATGAGCAATAAGAGTAGAAATCTATATGCCTACTGACACTCACCAGTCTCTGTCAACTTGACGATCACTGTAAGATTCTGCCATGTGATAATTTTCATCATCCACATCAGGATTTGTATATTCTGGAACACCAGTTCAGTGTGATGAAAAAGCCACATTAGAAAATAATTATTTTATAACAAATGCTTATAATAAATGTACATATTATATTCATACTATTCTGCTTTGCAGTAAAGATGTTGATAGTCTTCTGTGTAATAACACAAAATGGACTTGTAGGAAGATACCAGTGTTTTGGAGGAACATGAACCCCCATCTTCTGATTGAAGATGGAGGCAGTATGTTTCTCCTGAAGTGTGTTGTAGAAAAAATGGTTTGTATAAAACAATGTTCCCAGGCTGAATTACAGCCATGATTGTCTATTTCAAACCTGGGAAAAGTATAGATTCTATCTATTCTAATACTAGGCACACATATGTACAATAGTGCTTTTGTCCAGAACAGTGTAAACCATTAAATTCTGATTGGCACTGCTTCGTATAACTGTGAAATATTGCTAAGACAAAATTCCAGTGAACTTACGTTTTCCACTTCTCCACTCTGGAGACATTTGCCTTGATCTTCCTCCATACATTATTCTACCATAATCTGTACAATTTTTCTTTTCTCTAAAATAGGAAACAATAAAAAGTTAATTTCTTTCAGTGGTCAAGGTGTAAATATTATATCTCATACCTTCATGACCAAAACCTTTTTTCCCCCCTGTGCATTATAGCTTTTCTACCCCATTTTCAAAACAGAAAACAGCGCTATATACCTTCTGACATGCAATTATAGGGCAGCCTGTATAGTACATATCAGAGTAGTAATTACAGCAGAAATGTTATTTTCAATTGGAAGAGAAGGGTCATTAAGTAAAACTGTTTTATTCCTACTAAAGTCCATTCTTGAGCTAGGTCATGCTGGCAAAACACACTGAAAACTCTCGTAAGAGTGATTAAGTTATAATCAAGCAAGATGAATCACTGTTATGGAGGAGTAACTATCACAGAACAAGATGTGCGTCATGAAACTAAAAGACTGAATTAGTAAACAATGTATCACAATTTTATGCTTACTGTATCTAAAGCATTCATATGCTTATAAAACTATGAGATGTAAAATAATAATATCTGACACTGAAAACAGTGTTGTTGCTGTTTTCATGGAATTCTTCATCTGATTATGTATTAAAACCAGAAGACAGATTACATATCTAAATTGACTTAATAAATCCTTATATAGCAATAAAACAATACTCACTGAAATAGGAAAACAGTAGGAACTGAGAAAATAACAATCACACAGATGTTGTGAACTTACACAGGTGTAGTGATAGGAATTTGGAGTATGTACAGTAGGTCTGGAATACATGGTAGCAAGATGGGAAGTTTTATTTTGCTGGGTTCCTCCATTCTGTATTTACCTGCATATATGGAGAATTTACATGTTTAGTACAAAATTCAAAACATATTTATGTGCTCACTGAAAAAGTGTGTAAACAAGTTCAATTGTGCTACGCACACTTGATAACAGAATATTCTATAGAATTTTATTATTTATTTCCCTTGCACATCAATTGTCAGTGTCTTATTCTTAGGAGACAATGTGAATTCTATAAATTGTGTTATCTCCTGACTCCATCATAGTTGTATGGCACAATTAATTTGCACCACAATACATTACCAGCACAGTAAGGAAGATTAAACTACTTGCATGGCAACCATATGAATTATTTTAACTGACTAACCTTTACTTTCTACATATTTGTATAATCAGTAAGTTTATATAGTACTACAATTTTGTGATGACAGATGACATATTGTTACAAGTTATTGAAAAGTCTGCAGTTAGAGAGGCTAAAATGTTTTAGCAGTGTATGTTAACTTTGAAGTCAGTCAGGTCTTGGGTTATACGTTAGAATGATGCAGACTGGATTTACTTCTGCTATTCTGCCCTAGAAGTTCTCCGCTACTGTGCCAAAACGGCGGTTCCTGGTAATGCCAAGCCTTCCAGTCACAAAGATTGTCTATAAAACCTTTCTGAGTAGTCAAATTGGGAGTCCATAATTATCCAAAAAGTAACAAAATTCCTCAGACAGCTGTGATGGGAATTATTGCACCAGACTACACCAATTACTACCGGGTCCACAATAGAATACTTTCTCGGACAGAAGGCACAAGAACACGGTAGTTTGTTTTTTCAATGATCACATAGATACCATTACGTTCATATTTCAGATGATAATAGAAACAAAACTTTCAATGAATAACACCAAGAGGTCGTGTATACATAACATATTCCCTGTACGGTACAACACAGCGCAGCATGGAATCCCTTACCTTCAAATCACTCCTTGATCTTCAATAAAAAAAATAGCAGTTTTATTATACTGCACATGAAATAGAAACTAATGTACTTTATTATGTCCAACTATCTTATTATTTAATAAGACCAAGAACTATTCTAATAACCAGTCCGGAAAATATATATTAATCACGACTTACCACCACAGATATCTACAAACCCTATAAATGAAACTGGTCAACGGGAGTATAATCACCATCTTGTAACAGTACCGTAAACTTTGACTTTCGGCCTCAACGGCTCAATTGAAATTGATGCTGGTTGTCTACCTTGCTACCTCCATCATCAGGGCTTCATTCCATAACCAACACCATTGTTTCTGCATTAATTCTGGGCTCTCAGAACTGGGATCCGAACAATGTATAGTGTTGAACAATAGGACAATAACCTCCCAAATATGAAGATGAAGTAATAATAATAATACTTTATTTCCTGAAGATCAAAAATACATTGATATAGGATATGTCAATCTATATTATACATTATCAAAATACAATAATGATTATGATATAATCCCATTGGAGATATAGCATTATATACATTAGATTATCAGTAGCCAAAGTACTAATCATTTGGCTGTAATGTTCTGCAATCCTCGATGGAATCCAATGTTGTGCCGATGAGGAAGAGCAGTGTATAACTAAACAACTGAGCAACAAACAAAAACATTTAGACAGTGGCATCACAGCAATGGTGAACTGATGAAAGACTGAAACGAAAATAACTACTATGGGAAATGAGTTACTTCTACTGTAAATAATACAATGGAGAACAATTGTTTCAATTGGAATTACACTTGTATAACCTCACCTTGACAGAACCAAATTTCAGCACACACATTATAATTTATTTATTTTTCCAGTTCAGACATTTTTAGGTTAATGGACCTTAAACCCTTCAGGTATGTCATGAAAACTATTACATACATATCCTGCAAAGCATGAAGTAAATTAATATAATGCTATTATCTTTTCAGAATCATTGTTGGACACAAAACTCAAAATTTAATAATTAATTTTCAGAAGAAAATACTGTCAAAAATTTTGGGAACTTGTTCTATTTCTCTTGGTAAGTTATGCAACATAGTTCTTTGTAATTATCGTAACCATATTGTAACTATAATCAACCTGACAAACTTAACTACATTATCAAAACATAATGGAACTACAGAAATGGCTTTCTTTTGGGATGTTGCACTGTGTAGTTTGGTACATGTTGACCAAGATTTCAGAAAAGCTTACTGTGCATCCTCTTCAGGTTAAGTGGATGCAAGATCCCAGAAAGCAGCTGAGTCCATACACATCACTGTAAAAATCTCAAATCTCACATAATTAAACTAACATTCTAAATCTGTAATACACATATTCCTTGGTATGGACCAGAATGTTGAACAATGCTTATACAAAAACACATCACTGAGTCCTATTTCAAGTCACTGCATACCATTGCATTCATTTCTCTTATATTGGGTAACTTTATTTCAATAGTTATAACAATTTCAACCTCTAACATCCACTGTATGCACTGCACTATCATAAACTATGCCTCTTACAAGACAGCCATTTTGTTCACCATGTCCAAGACTTTGTAGAGATGGTCCGAGCAGAGTAATTCTTGCACTACCAAGGCATTCCTTGCCTTTATAAAACACTGCGTACTGAAATGTAAATAGAACATTCTTAATATCTGTGTAGCATGAAGTTTAGAATAAACTGCATAGTAATTATTGTAATTATCATTGAACACAGGTCTCTGAAAAGTAGTTTCCCTTACATAAAGAATTTAGTGTTTTGTGTTATTTTACCTTTTTTATAATACAGGACTAAAGTCATCCTAAAATATGTATGTTCTGTGAGCTTCTTAGATTACGTACCTGTCCTAGCGTAATTGCTCGCAATGGTCTAACGAGTTTGACCAAGACCTGGTTATCAGCCATAGCCACCAATGTACACTTCACAAGTGGCTTTGTGTGCTGGAAGCGAAATTCACATTCAAATATCCCTTCCAGCATCAGAGGCTCTGGAACTGAATGGATCCAATGTGATTCAGCTGCGAAGAAGAACTGTATAAAAAGTGATGGATGGTTTGTACCAGAAGCCTGGAAAAATAGGTTCCAGAAAATTCTTAATGTAAATTTAAGTCTGAAGCAAAAACATTCTCCAAAATATGTTTTCTGGATATTACCAAACAGCCACATAACAAACCTGAATTTAAAAAGAATTATACTAAATGCCTGGTAAAAGAAAATGCTAATAATATGGAATATTAGATCAAAGAACATCTTATGATGAAATACATGAAGGAGTGCAATTTTATTCTTATTTGATATTGGAACTAACAGTCAGAGTTGTATAAAATTACACTTTGTTGACTACACACAAGTAAAATCTTAAAATATCTGTTACGAGAAATTCAGATACCAAATGTACAGTTCACGAAGGAAAGGAAAATTAATCAAGTTACATATTTAAACAGTATATTAATTAAGAAGTATATGTTTCAAATATTTGATTTAAAACTCTATTTACATTGAGTTAAACTTACCACCAATATGTCATCAGATTTAGGATCCTTTCTTGCTACAAAATACGGCTTCACTTGACCACCTATCCGACATCTCTGACCAATTGTCCATTGGTGTATTCCTGAATGCTTACCCACTATGTGCCCATTGTCAATATCTCGGAAATTCCCTGGTTTGTCAACCAAATACTGCAAAATAAAAAAAAATTATTTGCATATGAAAACTCGGAAATAAAAAAAAACTTACAAATTTAAAGTCTACCATGATGGCCATTTATGATACAGGAATTACAACAAATAGTAAATAAGAGTGTGCAAGTACAAAATTGTGGCACCTTCACAGTACATTCTTAATTTTATATGCTATATTTACGATAATTTCTGCGAGTCTAACCTAAGAAATACATACTCTTCGTCGCCTGAAAAACACGGTAAAAGAATGTCTTTGCGTGTAGTCCATACCTCTGATATAAAATTTCTGAAATTTCTTGAGCCAATAAAACAGATTCCTCTGCTTTCCTTCTTCTTGACAATATGGTACATTTCATGTTCACAGGCAATTCTTCGAACTTGGTTTTTTGTCAAGTTACCAAGAGGAAACATTGTCCTCTGAAGAGGCATCTGAGGAACTTGACTTAGAAAAAACGTCTGATCCTTAAAAAGATCTACTGGCTTCAGAAGATGAACACCTAAAGGGAAAAAAGCACAATGTAGCTGACAAGAAGAAGAATGGTTACATTAAGATATGGTTGGTCTTCTTGATAATAATAGCATGTAGACTCGATGTCTACGTGGTGTTACTACCCAGAAGATCAACATCAACATCTTCACAACCATAAAAACCTCTAATCCCATATAAGGTAAAGGTAAAGTTATTCCTGGCGCTTAAGAACGCAACATGCCATGTAGACATAGGAGTGGAGGTACAGTTCCTACCAAAGAAAATGCTTCTTTACTTGTGAAATGTTTTCATATTCTCACACCCTTCCTTCTTCATAAGTTAATTGAGCTGCCCCATGTGATGGCATTCACCATAAGTACCACCTCACTCTGGTGTACACCTTATAAAAAGTCATATTTCTACAAAACACAATTTCATATTCTACAGTAACGCCAACGAAGCCATTTAAACTAACCTTGTGCAAACACAAAAGTTGTGTATACCTGCAACGGGATCATAGTTTTCCAAGAAACTGCCAAATGTTGTACGGGCATAATGACCAGTTGCAATGGCATTAGCGTCCATTTTATCTTTGGCATATCTGTAAAACGTGTCAAATTTAATCTGGCGATTACACAGAATATCTGGATTAGGTGTGTAGCCACTTCCATAGTCCTTCAGTAGACTGCTGTGAAAAGACCGTCAAAATGCAGTTACATAAATGATATGTCGGGAGCCATATTATTCTAAATTGGCTTCAGATTGGAGTGGAATACACTGATTTTGGTTTGTGGATAATGAACATGACAAACTTCTGAACGGAAGAAAAAGAAAGGAGAAAAAGATTGGAAAGAAAGAAAATTGGCAAATACGTGCTATTTCATGTAGCTACACTTCTCATCATCTATGAAGCATACTTTCTCAAATGAACAGTTTTAATGTACTATGCACATCAATTTAAAAATATGTACGAATACAGAATTAGAGTGATCAGTATCTCTCTATAAAAAGAAAAGGGTTCCATGATGGCAGTGTTTGGTCAGCCATCATTCATGTAAGGTTCCTCTACTGAAAAGAAAGGGTCACACAGAGTATGCCAGAAACTTTGGGGCAACTTGTTGAAAACCAGTACTGAATTTTGTTTGTTAGAATTATTATAAATGCAGAGAAAGTATGTGGTCTGCAGTGAATGCATAACAGGAGTCAAAACAATGTGTATCTATACTGCACCCCAAAGAATGAATTTACCCTCTCAGGAGTTCTTCTGATGGGAATGGCAAAGACTATATTCTTATCATCTGGTCTGAGGATTCAATTCACTGATCCTACATATGCTTACCAACTGCTTTAGTGTTGAGCCAACTCTTAGACTGAAAACTTCAATGATTCTATTAAGTTCTTATTATAATATGTCTAATTATTACATATCTATATTACCAGAAGACCTCATGCCAGTATTCCTTCACAAAGCTGACATGATGGAATGGAATATCCAATCTACTGCATACCCATTGTGCATCTTCTGCATCCTGGGCAACAGAACAGATTCCCATTTCATCTGTGACATCCCAGTTCTCCATAAACACACCAACAACATCAAAACCTGAGTAACAAAAAATTTGTTAGTAAAATTTCATTAGGAACACAATTTAAACATTTAAGAATTTATGTCAGTTCAATTTAGTTTGAATGTGAAGACAGAAAAACATTCCAACTATTACATGACAATCTCACCCATCACAAAACAAATTTTTATTAAATTCAAGACACAATTTTTTTTATTAAATTTATTGAATATATTCTGGAAAATTGTAGACAATTATGATTACAACTTAACACAAAGCCAAATTTGGACAGTGAAAGTTTCTCACATTTACAGATTATGAAGATACTAATATACTAACGTAGAATGACCCATCAAAGTTGAACTTTCTTGCACTGAACAATAATACAATTTAATGGAGCATTAGCTTTGTAAATCACACTGAAAATACATCAGATTAAACACTTAGGAGGCTGAAGAAGAACTGCCAGACAAAGCTACAGATGTTTCATTTTGACAATAAAAATATTTTTAAAACGTTTTTAAGCATGCATTAAAGCTAAGATGTTTGCAGAGAAGGTTGTACAATTCAGTATAAACACAAGAATAATGTTGTTCTGGGTTGAGACACCATGTAAACTTGAAAGCAGTGTCCACTGTTGGTATCTACCTGAGACTACGTGGTATCACAATCCAGAACAACACTGTTGTCCTTATGTTTACAGCATCAATAACTACCTATGAGTCTACACAGCATCAAAATCCAGAACACTGTCAACCTCACCACAGAGACAACCTCAAATCTCACAACATTAGAGTATATTTTGAGTTACCCTTTCTTTTCAGGAACAAGGCTGCCACTGCACTATCAACTCCACCAGACACAGCTACAATTACTCGTCCGATGTTGGACATTCTAAGGCATGAAAAGATTTCTCAGTGGGAAATTATTCTGAAAGAGACAAAAACAAGTAAAATTTACTTTTTATGAATGACCTTAAGAATCAAACAAAATAACATCTTAACTCGTGGAATACTGTACCGCACTAGTTACAAATTAATAACATCAAGATTAATTGTTATAATTTATTTTACTACAGTTCAACATGAACGCTATTGTAGTCACTTGTAACTCAAACAGTTCGAAGTTTGAACCACAGATTACCAAACAATGTGACGTCAGAGCTTGATCTAGTTCGAGACTGCGCGAGCAGCGCGCAGACACTATCGCAACCTATGGTGCACAAATTAAACTACATGCTCCTACTATGATCAGTATCGATACTGCTTTTCGTTCCAAAGCTCGACGAACTACTTATACAATCTCATTCGTGGTCTTCCTAATTCTCGCTTTCCTCCAGATCTGGAGATCAAATCTCTTCCTGGCAATCTGTAGTCTGGCATCCGCTAACTCCATCTCTGACCTAATTAAAAAATATGTGACGTAACTTAGAGCATTCGCTGCAAATATGTAATGAGCAGGATTAAGAGTGTCATCATTTAAGAATAATGTATAACTCAGTAGATAATATATGTTTTAATAAACAAGAAATAAAGGTACGAAAAAGATCTCAAGGAAGCTTCGTTGTGAGATTTGAGATTCTCGTGGCAGTGAGGATGACCAAGTTGTTTTCCTTTG